TTTTAAATGAATAAACCCGCCTGTAGACAAAGAGAAGATATCACCTTTATACTGCACAGTTAAAATTATAGGAATGTGTGTATAAGCTTATGAGGCACTCAGCACCAAATACATGGGTGCTAGTAGATTGGAATATATGGCACCTCTTTGACGGCAGTTAAATTATTAATGTTGCTGTTCATTATTGATCCCGGCTATAAGCGTTTGTATTTGCGTCTATGTGCAGAAAGGAAGCGAGTGCCGATAACATGAGATAGATCGGTAATGGGAGTGAATGTCTGCTCGTGTTTCACAATTGATAATGAAATATTTACAAAGGTTTCCCGTTATGTATTGATAATTGCACCTCAAATCCGTATTCATTGCAATAGACAACATTTGGACATATATATCATGTACACGCGAAACATTATACATATAAATGCACATATAAACATTATTTTATACCTGGCGTATATCTGTCATAATTAGTATCTCATACTTCTTTTAATATTTCTAAAATTATATAGCTTATTTTTATAATGATTCCCTCTAATTTACTACTATTAATCGAGAGTCAAAATAATGTACTTGGTGAACCTTCCAACTCTGCCCGAGAACACAAAGGTTGGTTGACCTGAAATTGACAATTTCTTTTTGGGGGGAAAAAAAGTTTACCTGATAGGATTTTTTTTCAAACCTCTAAATCCCTAAAATGTCATTGAAAATCCATACATAAAATATATATTTGGAAATCGTAAAAAAAAAGTGTATTGATCGGTTCCCTTTTTTCCCCTCATTTTATACTCCAGAAAATCGAGGGACAGTCGCCCTACCAGCTGGATCAAACGGGAAATGAAGCGCAAGATTTCACTCTTGTTTCCCCCCCCCCACCCCCCACCCCCACCCCTGCCCCCCATCCCACCCCCACCCCCCCCCCCCCCCCCCCCCCCCCCCACCCCCTCCCTCGTCAGCTCTGCGTTTTCCTGTTTACACTCTGGATCCGCCACAGCTATCAGCACAGAAGGGCAATCAAACGATGACAGAAAGAATCCGAATTTCTGAAAATCTTGAACTTGTAACATTGGCTTTCAAGGGCTCTCTCCAATATTGCACCGGAAACAGGAGCATTAAACAATTGACAGTCCGCCTCAGGATGAACCGATGGCCATGACACAGCAATCATTGTTGCAGGGTGAGACACTTGACATTTCCCGATGAAACATGTCAAGGTATAATTTTCTTCTTACCTATCTAAATTTCTCTTTAGACCTGTTTAAGACTGCTCAAGTGATCTTACATGTGCTGTGTAAACGAACCCCCAAAACAAGCACAGTCATTCTATTAAAGTGACAGGAAGCCCCAGTACAGTAAGGATGGTATATTAATATGTTTTCTGTTTATAGGACAGGCGTAACAGTATTCAAACACTGTAACCTGCACCACATTACATTAATAAAATACTAACTACTGTATATCATTATGTTAGTCTTTGTTCTCCTTTTTGATAATGGTTACTGGTGGATCAAAATAAATCAGTATCGTACATTGAAGGATTAACAAGATGTGTAACCCAAAGAAATTATTTAAAATTCTTTCGCCTTAACCTGTGTCTTCCTACTTCCCCAGAAAAATCATTCGTCCAAAATATTTGCAACTTTTTGTTTGTCACCTTTAAACAGCCACATTTGAAAACGATGGTAAATACAAAATCTAAATTCCCTTTATGTCAAAACCAAAGAAAATGTTAAAAGTAATATTAAAATCGTGACTTAAAATACAGAAAACATAATACATATGGTAATGCAGTTATTACCTCAGTGTACAATTCAAGAGCAAATATATTAGAGTGTAAAATACAGTCCATCACTATTCACTTACTGTTTTTATGAAGTGATACGTTAATATACATAATAAAGGATAACATTGTTTCATTATAATGTTAAATTTGTGTATATATTCCAAGTCAGCAAAATAGTTTATTCACGAGAAACGCGTCGTTCAGCCCAAATCGTACTAATCACTAATTCGAAAGCAAAGGAAATAAAGGATAGAGAACAGAATATTACTGAAGACTATTTTAAATTTAGTTTCTATTATACACATGCTTATTTTGAACGCACGTTTTCACGAAATATTTTACTATTGACCTTTGCCGAAGGATGGAATAATCACCTCTCTCTGTCCAAGATATAAACCTATTATTGCAGAGGAATTAAGTTGCGATAAAATACTGCAGATCACTTGTGGTAAATTTGACTTTAAAAATATTATCCTCGACACATTGTGTATTAGAGGGTTTGGATAAAGTTTCAAATGTTGATAAACTACGGACATTTTTTAAAATAAATAAGCGGGTGTCCTTGAGTGTATACCGCTTCCTCAAAATATTAACTTCCTTTTAAAACTATATAACCAATGTGCATAATATTACGAGAATACACTTGGGACAGTTTTGCTTTTGTAATTCTTGATGTACCTACACGAGTATTATTCCAGAAAGGGAAATCATTGTCAGTATTAGTTGAAAATAAGAAAAGCTAACGGAAAGCCCCAGAAACTCTATTCAAGTTAAAATCAACGCTTTGTGATCTCAATAAATCAACAATCAACTTTGTACCAAATTAAAACCATTCACTGCACTGATTCGAATACGTCCTCCTTTGCCACAGTTAAATAGTTAAAAGTACTTCGGTTGGTTTGACGTTATACCACCGCCACATGTCTAAAATGCGAAAGGAATGGAACGATCGCTCTTTACACTGCAAACGAAATCTGGATCACGAAATAAGCTTTCAGGAAGGAATAAAATGACTGATTTGAAAAAAAATAAAAGGTCTAATTCCACCAAATTCCACCAAGGACAGGTTCCAGTCAGGATAGTGTATTAATACAAATATAAGAACTGCATTTATATAAATCTGACATATGCTTCTCGCAAGTTCGATGTTACACCGAAATAAAACATTAGGAATATTTAATTATACACAGACAGAATAATCAATCATTATGAATGGGGCCCTATTAATCCAACCAACGGTTTCTTTACGTTTAGATTTCATTGGCGTTTTTTAAAAGAAAATCTGAACCATCGGCAATAGGATTCATTTAAACAGTGTTATAAGTGCAGTGCCCATTTTCAAACGTGAGAACCTCTGCTTAACTCGATAATCTTGCCAGGGCACACTTATGCTTAACATTTCAGCAGAACTTACTTTCACGAGTGTCGCTCCATTCTTCCAACTGTATCCAAGAGAGATTTGAGCCATACCTGGGTCTGCTAAGGAGACCCGCTGGATCCTCTGGAAGCCCAGTCACATTATAGTCTCACAATCTGCAAACCCAGCCAGATAAAGTTCAGCGTCACTAACATTATACTGAATGTGAAATATATTGTACCTTGTCAACTCCCCAGAACCATAAAACTAACTTTAACGACCCCACGTGACTTTTCGGAGCCAGTAGGGGTATCTGCTCGCGGTTCGGGCGATTTTTACGATCTAACTTTGAGATAAATACCCAATTCAGTTGACATCCCAATGTCATACCGAGTTCTTGTATATGTAGTTTGTTATATTCACAAGGGAACACGCACATTGCAGGATAGAACTCACATTTGCTGTTTGAATTATCAACTACACTACCTATAAGAAATGGACCTATTTGGTAAGTTGAGCTTAAACTAAACCTGTTACACAAAAGATGACTCTTAGAAACGTAAAGTTATTTAGACACATTTTAAGTGATACCTCTCGTTACTGTACAATTCTCCGAGGCCATAGCATAAAAACCTGCGATATCAGATGGTATATGTCAAATATAGGCAACAACAACAAAAAGAACTGTACAAAGTTGAAACCAGATACCCAAAGCAGGTAAAAGCTGAAAAACGCGATTAAGGAATATTTCAGCCAAATGGACAGCCGTTCTGAGGCCAGATGTCAAATACAGTGAAACAGCTGAATGTAGTTAACCGTTTAAATTCATATACAAAGTCAACAGTTACAATTTAATGATGAGGCGTAAAATAACAATCTATGAGTATGTCAGTCTTTTTTGCAGTGCAAAGCAACTCGGTAACGCAATTAATCGAAATCCATATTTAAATCGTTTTTTAAAAAGTTAGTATTTATGAAATACATATAGTAAATGAGTTGGGATAAAGCAGGTATGATTTATTGTAAGTATCACCTATGATATTGTTTACTGTGCTAACGATACCTATTCCCCAGTCGCACCGGGATGCATTGTACTTTTGAGTACAGTGATACTATGGCTTTTACACAGTCATTAGATTATACAATTAGAGGCCATGCACAGTTGTGAGAAACTTTTATTATACTTTGAATTAGGCTACAAACAAATACAAAAAAACTTATTGGCAACATACTGTAAACAGCCAGACATTACTGTTGCCGATTTCCACAGAAAATATGCCATCCATCACTCTGCCTACTGCAGACTAGCTATAGGCAACATCATAAACTTTTTTCCCCTCATTATTTACAACCAATATAACTCACTAATAATCGTGTACAATCATCGCTGATTTTGAATCTATCCACTTATAATTACACATGGTTACACTCTAAATGGAATTTCGGCTTATAGAGCTGCTTAAAAACACCGATAGCTTTAGGGTAGAAATTTACAAGTTTTTTTGCAAGGGTAGTGCAGGGACAAAAAAAACGTATTGGTAATATTAACTGGGGTGGGTTTACAGGAAGGGGGGAATCAAACTGTACACCTTGTGTCAATTATAAATAAGTTTTGCCATTTACAATCCACAAAACCATGCTACTTTTCAATAAAGCATCAACAGCTCACTGACAGAAACAGATGTAGGACAGAGACAAGCATTTAACGGCGTCAGAACAACACAACATATCCATCCTCCCCCCCCAAAAAAGTAAACGACAATATTTTGTTAGCAGTACCACAGAAAAGTTTTAAGTCGTCTTTAATATTTAACGACATGCGGGTGGTGGTAGTGGAGGGGGGGGGGGGGGGGGGGGGGTGGTGTTGGGGGTGGGGGAGTGGGGTAGAGAAGAGCCTCGCTGTACAGTACTGGAGCATGGATTTTTTTTAAAATACTTTTTTTTATTATCATGGTTGAAACGCGCTTCCTCCAGCGGTCATGCTCATGCTTTTGAGCTTGTTGTCCTTTTTCCATTTCATTCTCCGGTTCTGGAACCAGATCTTGATCTGCCGTTCTGAGAGACAGAGTGCATGAGCAATCTCTATCCTCCGCCGCCGGGTTAGATATCTGTTGAAGTGGAACTCTTTTTCCAACTCCAAAGTCTGGAAACGAGTATAAGCGGTTCTTGCCCTTTTCCCATCCGGTCCACTCAAACCATCTGTTAATAAATAGAGGAATTTTATCCATGGTGTTACTCAATCTGTCCTCATTATAACCTTCTTTTTCAATAAGAACATAATTTTATATCTTGAAAACAGTTGTATCTAATTTTCATGATATATATTGGTACTATTGTCTTCAATCTGAATTCCTATTAATTATCATTTGGGTTTTATTGTTTCAGTATCCTGTTTTCACCGCTCAGTTCCCAAATATCTGGAGCGCAGACATGCACACTCATAGATAGACACACACAAATGCAATCACTGTTTTTCTTAATTGGTTCGAAAATGCTGAGCAGACCCATAGAAAACAGGACACAGCAATGTTGGCTATCCAGGATAGATGCTTACACCACTCTTTGTTATTCCAATGGTCGCGAATTGCTACTGGTAGCTGCCACACTGCAATATGTGGAGATACCGTATTGATGTTTAGAATTTATCAGCCTTAAAATGCGATCCTTTATTTTAAAGCACTTCGTTTTCACATTATTTGTTGGTCGAACTGGGCATAATTACCCCCCCACCCCCACCCCCCCCCCCCCCCCCATGCACGTTGTAAAATGGTGGTCTTCAGATTCGAAATTTAAATTTAATTTGTGGAAAATCTACAGTTAAGTTTCTATTTGCGCATTTTTTTAAAGAAAAAATGATATAATTTTTTTGGCGTACAGGTTGTAGAATCGGACGCCATGAATTACCTGGCGAAAGCGGTAGAGAGTGATAAACATAAAATAAATGTGTACCCTGGCCAATGTGAAGCTTCCTCATCCAAGGGAATATTTGTGGCTGTTGATGTGCTGTTGTCGTCTGTGTTGATTCTTGCTGTGCCCTGAGATGGTTGCTGTTGGCTTGATTGCTCTCTTCGGCATCTGAGGATGCTCCGGCCTCGTCCATTTCTGTAAAATTACTTGCTGAACTGGAGGAGGTAGCCGGATCAGATGGAGAACCCTTGGCTCCGTGACTGTCCTTGCCGGAACAGGGTATGGGTTCTGGAGAGGAGAGGGTGCAGCTCGCTGTTTGCCTGAACCTGCTTTCTGTAGCTGGAGGATATCTTCGGGAGTTTTCTGTATTACCCACTCCAAAGTGGTTAGATGAGGGTGATCGGGTGATGCTAAGGTCCATACCATTGTAGTTGTAGCCGTAAGTGCTTGAATGCATGGTGCCTGAGTCCCTGTATGGTCCGTTGTCGGAGCTGCTAGTCCCATAATTAAGTAACTGATAATCCGGGCCATTTTGATAGCGACCGGAGAATGAGTTTACAAAGTAAGAGCTCATTTGGTTTTTTTGGGTTGATTTGTGGCTGTTAGTCGTTATAACCCAATGCTGCACGATTTATGATATATTAATGAATTATAGAAATGACTGTACTTCGTTCGCTTCTATGTATGCGGCCAAATATGGGGGGTGCGAGTCGAATCACGTGCTTTTGTTGACCAGTCGTAAATTCTCACTGATGACCTCAAGGGGTAATTCATGCTCTATGGTTACAAATGACGATCTGGGAAACGTTACGCCGTGTGAATGCGAGCGTCCAAATGGTGGCGCCAGGTTTGCAGCGTGCGCCACCTGCTGGGCTCCGTCCGGATTACACCCATTAGGGTCATCGCCTGTCTATTCACATTGCTGTTCCCAATAACAATAATGCAGAAAACAGGCTCATCTTAAAAATTAACGACCGCAAATGTATAAGAATGTCAATCTTGTGTCGCTCGCTTGTTCGTGATGCGTTGAACCTTGGAACGATGAATTTGTTTTCTTTTTTTTTAAAAAAAATAGTCGAAAAAGAAATTCCCCGAAACTGCCCAACATAAAACGGCAATTCAATTATCTTGCAATTGAATTGGAAATCACGTTTTATAGCTGCACTTGAAGTGGAGCAATTTATTTCGGTTTTTTTGACCAGATACATTTAAATACAATTAAGTTGCTACCCTTGACCAGTCAGTGAAATACAAGCAGCCCCAGTGACTTCTGCCTTTTGCGTTTGCCGTCCGTGTGACTTCTCTTCTGCGTGTTGTTTTGCCAGTGCGTACACGGGTTGAATTTTCGTTCTGCAATGTGATAATATGTGGCAACACACCGCCCGTATTAAAACAAAGTTGTTCTGCAAAAAGAAACAAGAGTGTTCCACACACAGCGAGGGATTTAACGTCTAGAGCGTTAAAATTCGCATGTAAACACTTTCAGCTCCGCTCAGTGAAGCGGAGTGGTCTTCGTACAATGGTTTTCACTACGTATGTTTTGAATGAGGTTTTTTTTTCATAAAAAAAATGCACATTTGAACTTATTTACTCGGTGTACTGCCGAGCATGGCGTACTTTGGTGGAACCATTCGTTTAGATTACAATTTAGATGAGAAATAAAGAAAATACGTCCCACAGTCACGGATCCTTTCCTGGTTTCGTACAGAAGTATTTTTATGGGATCTCTTATCGGGTCGGCTTGGGGCAATTCACCTTTATAGAGGGTTCAATAAATAACTGGAAGAGAGGCTTCAGCGTGAGGGGGATGTGCTTCTAGACAGAAGGATTTTAAGGACAAATCTGCTGCAGAAGGAACTTTGTGGGTTTGGGGGAACTCACGAGGCTGTGACTCTATGGCGTTAAAACTCCTTCTTAAAGATGTAGTTTTAACAAGACTGTGTCATCAATCGGTCGCGCTATTTTTTCGAGCCCGGGCGACGACTGTTACAGTGAAAATCATTACATCCTCAGATCGCTCGTCAAAGCTGGAACATCCTTCATTTATTTTACCACCACAATAATATCATTGTGAATTTCAAAGATCTGATTATGTTGAATATCAAACCAGCGAGCTATGTCTGTGATTTCAGACTCAGAAGCGGACCAAAAACCGATTACTGGGGTGAAACGTACATAAGTTTTGCATGGAAATGATAGCAATAAAGTAATTAAACGAGGAAAAGTGAAATGTTAGGAATTGTGACAGATTGACAAGAGAAACGATATTGCGGATTTAACAAGGTTTGCCCCTTGTCTCAGATAGCCTCGACTTTCCTGTGTGCCATGGTAGTTATATTGCAGGCTTTGAAAAATGCAAATGATTCGATTTTTGAAAACTTTATTGTCATTCCAGATAAGGGTGCATCAGATAAAGATTTATTAAACACGCTACAAACACAATAACCATTACTTTTTTTAAAAAAACCTGACTGAACTCTGAAAGACATTTTGAACTTTTCCTCTCATTTTTCCCAAAATCCCATGGCAATATTTACAACTTATCTTAAATTATTTATACAATCGCTCGCACACACACACACACACACACACACACACACACATACATATAGAATAAAGCAAATGTAGTGTTCACAGTGCACAAAACTCTTGTAATTAACTACCGAGCTGAAACCAGCGCAAAAACAAATCACAATATTGCAACACCTCAATTGAAATACAGAATTCATCGAATACTTCTATATTTATTAAAAACTGTGTGGCACCAGAGTGAAACAATGGTTGCCAGAGTCGAGCAAAGGAATGCATAACTTTATATTGGAGCAATAGCATTATATAAAATCTTACAACAAATACTCAAATGTACAACTTCACGGGTGCGCAAAGGAAAACAAGATGTAAACTTTTTAATATTCATTATTTTTAAATAAAGAACCGCATAGCGTTCTTATTTTCCTTAACATTTCCTGTTTTTTTTCACTCTGTTGATTTTTCTTCTGTCTCTTCGCCGCTTAACTGTGATGAGTTGAGCAATTTGTTCTCTTTTTTCCATTTCATCCGCCTGTTCTGAAACCAGATCTTGATCTGGCGTTCTGTGAGGCAAAGTGCGTGTGCAATCTCTATCCTGCGTCGTCTGGTCAAGTAGCGGTTAAAGTGAAACTCTTTCTCCAGCTCCAGAGTTTGATATCGCGTGTATGTTTGTCGCCCGCGTCGTCCGTTGGGGTTAAACGCTGAGGCTGGGAAATAAGAGAGACGTGGAATAGAAAGAAAGTAAGATAGACAGAAATAAATTAACATTTTGATTATCACACATAGCATGGTAACAGTAGACAAAAGCATTAGAAATAACAAGTGATTCTTATTGATTATATTGGACAAATTGCATTCGTCAGTTTCATCGGGAACTATGTAACAAACTGTTAGCATCCTAAAACCCTGGGTATTATTTATTTTTCATGACTGTGGTCTATACGGTGAAGATGTTGAAAGCTATAGGCCTATTAGCTATTCATTAAAACCTTTAGGAACAACGGTTCTGAATGCATCTTTCAATAGAGAACATTTATGTACATTAACATATTAATCTTATGTATCAGACTTTGGATTTTAATGAATTATTCAGAGTCTCTGAATATGCAGCTTTCATATAATGTGGAGCTGGTCAGAGTGAAATGGATTTTAATTCTAGTGAAATAAATTTAATATTTGATGTTCATTTTCGAAGAAGTGTAATGAACGANTTTTTTTTGGTGCTCTCTCTGATTATGCTCAATCTAAACATGCAGACAGAGGTGGTGTTTTTTTACACACATAGAATTATGTAGTATGAAAACAAAACTCACCCCCACTGGAGTTCATTCTTTGCATCCAGGGGTACACAGGCAACGAGTTCTTCTGGTCCTCCGCTTCCCCATATAAAATTCTGTTCTGTGTGCACTCGGTCTTGCGTTGGTCAGCGTTAAAGTGAGTTGCGTCCTCGAGTGAGTGGTACTTAGGGCTACTGGATGATCCAGTACAGGAGGGTTCTTTTTCCCGGTAAAAAACGGGTGCCCCGTAATCACCGGGTGTCCGATTGCACCCATACGTACCGTTGGTTTGTTGATAGTAAGAGGGTGATGGGTAACTCTTGTCCTGCATGTTTGTAGCCCCATACGTAGCCGGGTAGTGCCTTAAAGGGTCATAACCGGAGGAACATAGCGGAATCTGCCCAAGGAAGGACTCTTGTCCACCAGCAAGAGTCACCGGGAAAGTAGAGTTCACAAAATACGAACTCATTTGTTGGCTGCGCTCTGTTATGATTTGTTGTGTATTATTCCAACTGCCTGTGCTATTAGCAGTTAGCGAGATGGGTTTGATTCTGGATGGCCAAGTGCCAGAAAGGACAGCAGGAAATATAACCATCTGATCATCGACTGACCAATGGCAATACTGTTTGATAGGAAAATAGCACCCATGAGGGTCTTAGCCATGAATCAGAGGCAATAGCACAAACCGCACATGTGATGGGGAAAAGTTCCAAACAGAAAAAAAGCAAATAAATACAACACAGTATCTTCAGATTTAACCTTTACTACCACGACTTTAACAAATATTGCAAAAGGCAACCAAACGTATGGGTATTGTTTTCAAATAAATAAATGTGTACGCAACATTCAATCAGCCAGACAAGCACAGGGGACTGCAAAGCATCTCAAACTAAACAACAATATGAAATAAATCCTCCTTTAGTATATAGGCATTCAAATAACACATTAAAATATTGAATACATTGTTACTTTCCTCCATTTTCAATCTCAAACCAGCATTATAGCTCTTCAATTATTACACGGTATTCATTGTGTTTCACTTTCACTGATATTTTTGTTTTAGTGTCAATTCCTAATTATGCACGATCAACCGTTTCGTTTCCACGAGTATATGTGTGTTTGTGTGTTTGTGTGTGTGTGTGTGTGTGTTATTCAGTTCAACCTCAGAGTTCCTGAAAGTTCTTTCTTCTGTATGTGTTGCAGTTTCCACCGTTTTACTTTGATGCACGTGAAAATGGGACGGAAAAATACCAAGTTTTAATCGTTCAATTAGAACCACAAAACAAACGGAAAGAACTTTGCAACAAACAGAATCCTCCCTCGCCACCGGGGGGTAAAGCCGGAACTGCACAGAAACGGGCGCAATTTTACATGTAAGAGCCGGAATAATATCTGCAAAGGGTAAAGTTTGTCACGGGAAAATACGAAAGACAAAAACGAGAGAGAAACGCATAAAATGTTTCAAATTCACAAAGAAGGACTTGTCCTAAAGTGACTGCCTTATAATAACAAGCGGCTGGGTCTAAACACGGCAAGAATGGTCTTCGCTGACAGAAGTATTGGAATTTTAAATGTGCTTTGCTTAGATCAGTGAGTACATTTGCAGACTTATTTCTTGTGTTAAAATGTATTGTATTAATTCCGAGGTTTATCCCACCGCAAAAAGTTCAATGATAGATACAACATTGTCTTCAGGAATGCATGATGTGCAAATTAATACTTAGTTATGAAACACTGGACACATATAATGCTATTGCTCCAATATCTTATGTGATATTATGCTTAAACTATACATTTCCAAACAAAAAAATGTGTGCACTGAAATATGTGTTTTTCCCTGCAGTCTATCTACTTTGATTCAAATCTCTGACAATTAGAGATATTTCGGTTATTTATGATTTTTTCCATATTATCAGATGAGCTGAATTTATCATGCTGCTTAATTGAAAATTGAGACAAATCTAGTTTATAGGTAGAATATTGTAGGATTTAAAATCAGGTGTAGTTTTAAAAACATTGACCTCCTCATTTTTTTAGCAAATCCCCCCAAAAATGCCACGATGATGGAATAGCTTTAGTATTTATACCCTGAAATGTTTCTAGAAGCTTGTTTTATTTATGAATGAGATTTGTGAGAAACGTGTTTCAGGAATGCGCCATTTCCTGGTTTTGAACATCTGTTTCAAAAATATCCTGAGCTAATTATAGAGGGTTGCTAGATATTAAGATGCAGTTTTTGCTTGTCTGTTCGTTTCTATATGCCGACAGCTTTTATTGTTTTCCAAGATGTGGGTTTCAGTGGGAGGAAACAAAACAAATTGCTAAGGATTGCTGAATAAACTTTGGGAAGGGAGTCATTTTGAAAGGTGTCCCTCAGAATGGCTAACGGTGAACCTCCAGGAAGTATTGGCATTGTCTCAATCAATTTATAACAGTCCTACAGGTTAATCCTATTATTTTAAATCACCTTCGAAATTGCAAGAAATCTAGGAAATAATATTGCGTGAGAATGTAACCTATTTATCTATTGCAAGTCAGTAGAGTCATTAAAATCAATGGTATGTTGACAACTGTTTCCTTTTATCACTATTTGGATTTTGCAAAGAATACTATGTTTATCTTTACCTTTCCTATTGTTTTACACATATTTTAAATTTGTTATAAAGCACCTAATAAATCTGTTCTGTCTATTCACGTAATCTTCTTATTGGAGTGAAGCACAATTTGGTTTGTTGATTCAAAGAGGAAAATCAACAGAAATAGAGATATTCTGGGCAAAGAATGGATCCCAGGTATATAACCAGGTAGTATATTGCATTTTGAGATTATCGCATACGTTAATCAAAAAGGTCAGGAGCTGGTTACTTTACCAACGAATTTCACTATTTCCATTTGGACAAATCCAAAAAAATGCTTTTGTTTGAGCTTCCATGGAAAAGTAAAATCCATTTTCTTTATGCAATATATTGCTCTGCGCTAAATCCTTTAATTGTATATTTTTAAAACTGGATATCCGCCGGAGAAATTGTGTTTATTGTCGCCAACGACATTTCCTGCTTTATATTCTGTGTACATTTCAGCAGCCCTTTGTTATTGACCAGATATGAACTCCTTTATAGGAAAATATAGGAGGGTAAAATTAAGGGGATTAGGATTACTATGTGAAATGACTTACATACAACTAGATATATATAACCAAATGTTTAAAGGATTTGAACCTATAAGGCGCAATGGCAGTCAGGGAATACTGTACAATTCCCAATTGTGCAGGAATAAAACAATCCAGAGCTTGGTACAGATTTGCATACGTAAAGGCAAGAATTAGTCCACGAGAGAAATGTCTCCAAATGCATTTAAAATAACTCCACGCCAGCTTAGTTTTGATGCAACATTGAAATTCTTCAATGATGTCGGCAAATGATCATAGGTTGCAATGAGTTTGGGTATTTACTTTAACATGAATGGGATGGTGTTGAAACAAAGCATTCGGAAATAGAAACAGCAACCGCAACCTATCGTAGGAGTATTAGACACATTCCAACAGCGCGGTAAGGATCTCGGGGTCAGGATTATTATGGTGTGGTCTTTCAAAACAGACGGTATATATATTATTGAAAAAAAAATTGAACCATAATAATCATTGCACGTGAAATAGGACAGAGTTGAAATGGGACAGAGCAAACACGTCAAAGGCACTGCTGAGAACCGCACGAACACAATAATTAATACAGCTGCAGATTTTCTAAAATTCCAAAGCCACAGTTCAGTTTGCAATGCACCCAAATAATTGTGGTTTTGAAGCGAATGCAGCCGAGCCTCTCATTTTCCAGCTCGTTCGACCTGGTTGAGCGCTAGGTGGCAACAGAGAACAAGGAATCCTTTCCTTTCTCTCCGACGCCCACACCCACCCCCCCACCCCCCCCACCTGATACATTAATATCATATTAATGCGAAGCTACTGGGCCTCTCCGTTGCTAAACACTCAGACCACAGTCAACTAAACGCCATCTTATATGATCACAAGAGATATCATCCACTCTAGATGTAAACTGAAACCGTCTGAAGCGCTCCAATACAATAACCGCAAGAAATGATGAATGCCACATTACAATCTGTATGCAATAATAGCACAAACATGTTTATCTCAATCAGAATCAATACAATAATCCAGATACCAGAAAAGGGAAATGCCACTATTTTATCATAATTAGGGTACGTCTGTACGTCACCATGGGTGAGTTGCACCCTCCTAATTACTGGTATCTCTTGTTAAAATTGTTTACGTAATAAGTGGCCCCTGAGAAAAGATGAACATTATCGAACGCGTCTAACTTTACCATAATACCGAACGCAGTGATAGATTTGTCAACACATCACGGGAAGAGGGAATACATAATTATACCACAGAGATGTCTGAAGGAACATAGCCTACCACCAAAAATCAATCCCAAAGCTACGCCTCTCATTAAAACTAACCAAATAACTTTCCACAGTGTGGTATTGTATGATTTTTGAATAAAATAATGCTCTTTCACTGACGTCAACAAGTCTCCTATTAATTCCTATACGTCTCCATAACTGAGTTTCGCCTTAAAATACCGACAAGAAGAACAGAACCAAATATAAAACAAATGCTAATATTTGTCTTACCTTCTTAGGATCAGCTGCGACTTTTAAATCTTCTCTTCCCTCGTGTGGAAAGCAATTTTCTTCGCGGGCAATATTGTCCGGTTCTGATAGCTGTCGGCGGACCTGCTGCTGCCGCCGCCGCCGCAGATCGTTCGGGAGTTCTCGCGTCCGTCATTTACGTTGGAAGTCAGGAACCGAATCTCTTTGAAAAATGATATCATCCACAGCATTGAAATTTGCGTTTCACCAGTCATCCCTGAAATCTCCTAGTCGGCAGTCAAGTCATAGATTGCAAAAGTATTATTGACTTTGTGTGTGTGTGTGTGTGTGTGTGTGTGTGCACCTCTCATAGTAACTATGAAAGTTTTTTTTAAAAAAAAGCTGCAGAAGCCCTCAGGAGCACACAGATCCGACCCAAGGTGCAGTGGCCAAAAGAATGCTGCAATATACTCACATGGGAAATCATAAAAAGTTCATGTTCACGGTTGCTATCCACATGACCGGCAGCGGCCAATGGAAGGACAGATCCACTCATAAAGTTCTATCACAAAGTTGTAAATTTTCATAAAACAACAAGGAATTTATTGCGTTTCTTCATGACTACTAACAACAAGCCTCCTCGCCGCCATGTTTGTGCGTAAGGAAATTGCTTTTTTTTTAATATATATATCTCTCTATATAACAAAAAAGTTCCATTTCTTCCCTTACAAAAATGCCACCGTTTAAGTAAGTGGATTTCGATATTTTCTGCATCAAATGAATGAAACCGTCCTTCTCGGTGTATTCCCACGTTTTTGTCACCTCCTTTATGCGGCGCTGTAACTAAATGTTAATTATATTTTGTGGGAAAATATATAAGCAGTATATCGAATGTAATAGTGTTTTTCTTCATGTCCCCCTCACTGGCTTTACGCAGAATTATGCACGAACATGCTGCTTAGGTTTTCACGGAAATTAGTTATAAAATATATCTCAAGAGAGCAAATTACACGACTGAACGAAATTCGCCCGGGTTTATTCTACAAGGCGTAGTCTACTTTACTAAATAATGACAAAATGCACTTGTATCTGTTTAAATGCACTGATATTCACTTCGAAAGCCATAGAAACATCCCTTAATTTAGATTAAAATGTCGATTTTCTGAGTCAAGTTAGCACTGATCAAAAGAATTCATACATTTTGAATCGCAGAGACTCGGGGATAATAATTGCATATGTTTCTAAAAGAGATTAATGCAGCATAAAATTACTTCAAATAAAAGCATGTTCATAACAGATCTGATTCAATATCAACTATGGTTCTTTTGTGTTAATATGGCCTTCGCTCCTCTTCAGTTTATACCACAACGAGATCCTTTCTCGACCACCATAACCACAAATAATTTTATTTGAAAAGAGCTCTTACCCTACAAATAAATCATTTAATTATTTTCATAAATTAGTCTTCCATACGTATAATTATATATCGACAGTAAATTGGGAAATGTTACCCGCCAGTACGTGCTTTGCTGCTCAGAGCCGACGCATTGATTTGTAACCAATTCGCTCCTTACAAACGTATCTTTATGTAGAATTAAAGGAAACTTTACAATTGCATAAACCTTTTGGATATTTCCCATCTTTGAAGATATAACTTATGTACTATATATAGAGAGAGTGAGAGGGTGAGAGGGTGGGGTGAGGGTGGGGGGAGGGGGTGTGGGGAGAGAGAGAGATCAAGCGTTTGATATAATTGGGTTAATATAGATTCAGAGATAGAACTGATAACTGATTCTACTCATTTGGGTTACTTTAACTAAAGGGTATTGACCAGCAAAGGGGCCTGGAATCTTTTATTTCATTCGGGAATCGCTACTGCGGAGAAGGCATTTTGCATTTTGCGCAGAATATCAGCAAGGTTACAAGATGCGCAAGTAACGAAAAACAATCTAATTTTATTTATTCCACAAAAAAAGTTTACATCCTTCGTGATTAAGGAGCAAAAAAAAACAATTGAACACGCATCAAATTGGCCCATATTTAAATATGAAAATGTACACAGAAGTTACATTCAACAAACGCTTCCACCAAACCAGCATTATCTGTTCTATATATAACTATAACAAGAGTTTACAACATACACTTATTATTGATCTGTACACGACTCAATGGTTACATTAAGCTCCCTTTTCTTCTATACTCACTGACAAGAAATTACATCGATACAGTAACAAATATATAGTCACTGGATATATTTCATTTAAACAAACGGGCCTAAAGTAATGTATACAGTAACAACCAAGTCACCACTGTGGGACGACAAATACACAGACAATATAGAACTGTAGTTGTACAATTTCAGTGGGTTATTCCACCTAATTTGTACAAAACAAACTAAACATAAAAACACAGTTACATTTTAGGTAGTATTCTGTTTCAGTGTTAAGAAATGAAGAGTAAATCACTCCATTTAGTACAAGTCATTTAAGTTTCAGCCTCTTTTTTTCCTCAATATGTTTCATGGATCACTTTTCTTCACTCTTCCTGTTTTTCTTCACTTGCATCAGGTTGAACCATGGCTTTGCTTTCCTTCTTCCATTTCATCCTCCTGTTCTGAAACCAGATTTTAATTTGCCTTTCGGTCAGGCACAGTGCGTGTGCGATTTCTATGCGTCTCCGCCTGGTGAGGTAGCGGTTGAAATGAAACTCTTTCTCCAGTTCCAAGGTCTGATACCGAGTGTAAGTCTGGCGACCCCGCTTCCTGTCTGAGGCTGAACGATCAACGAGAATGAGAGAGAAAGAAAGATCACAAACAGGAAATCATTCATAAAATAAGTTCTGTACAGTATTCGCTTGGAACGCGTTTTAATATTTTTTCCCAATTTTTAGCCAAAATATATTGCCCTTGTCAAGAGCAATGAATCTGAAAAAAGCTAATTAGAATTAACATCAAGTTTACATTAACACCCCATACTGGAAGGTTAGTTAGCTGATTTTGTGTACATGTGGGAGTGGGTTTTAACTGTTTGCGGAACAGATGTTAGAAACCGTTCTTCTCTAATAAAACTCCAAACGTGGCCCAGCCTTAAATTTCCAGTTTGAGTTTTTTTTTAAAAAGTAAAGGGTATCTGTGTTTGCGGTTTTTAAACAGAGGTATCTTATTGAAAGGTGGTCGTTATTCTACCCCTGAACTAGTTTCTGGGATTTTCTGAATTAATGCATGTAACCTGAAACTGACAGGTATCTTGGAACTGAGGCCCGCAATTGATTTTAGAACAAAATCACGTTGGTGCATTGTGTCTATTTTTACCGCGAAGCACCGATGATTTCCAAATCTAACCAGTGCACGCATTGCGGCTTTGAAATTAAGGACAGGGCAACACTGTGTGGAAATTGCCTCTGAGATTGCCTTGGACACACGAGCTGTGAAAATAGACAAATGGTGAAAAAGCCCTTTGTATTTTATACGGTACAAACCGCCACATGCGCTAACCTCAGCAATCAAAAAAAAACAAGGTTACACGTTGGCATTTAAACAAATACCATTTAAACCGATGCGTCTTTTTAAATATTTAATGGACGTTTTTCTGCACTTTTGCTGTTTCCATTTATCACGCGCTTGCTATTTATAATATGTTCTGTCCGACCCGTTCTCCCTCCCCCTCCTTTCCAACCCGTTTTCATTGCACCCAATGGAGGAAGAAACTTAGAAATAAAGGCAAAAACTTCAACCCGGACAACCGTAAACCTGGGTTTAATGGAAATAAGGAAAGACAAGGAGTTGATTTAAACAGTTTAGACGTTATGGTTGCGCGGCTCGTCTGTGGGGGGAATAGTCACTGGGACGAGGTAGTCGACAATACAATAGTTTCCAGAGGAAACAATGTGTATTGCAGTCCACCTCGTCCTCGTCTCGGTGGTCTGATTTGTACAACTGAAAATGAACAACTTTCCAATTGTGTGGCTTTGTCTCTTATTTTGCTGTTTAAATCCCGACAGTTTTGCAGAGCGACCCACTGAAATATCCTACGGAAGCAAATTGATTGCTAGTGGAAGGGTGCATTGCATATTATTCCCCGCTGCCGCCCCCACCCCCACCCCCACACCCCCACGACCACCCCCCACCCCCCCACCCCCCCCCCCCCCCGCCAAAAAAAAACTTTTAGTGAGCGTCATAAATAAACACGACATCGCAAAATGCAATAAAGTAATTCACCGACCCCGCAAGAGTTTTTATTACGCGACTCTCTCACATACCTGAGCTTTTCATCCAGGGATAGATCCGGAAGTTCTCGGACTGGGAGTCTGTGTCTCTCAGCTCTGACTTGCTGCAACTCTGCTTGTAAGAATCCCCAGCGCCGCACATCAGCGACGAGATATTTTGATCGAAAGAGGAACAGTGCATGTTAAAGGAGTTCGCGTTGAGCCCATAGGGCGACGTGTACATAGTCGGGGTCTGGTGGTGGATGCTGTTAGCCGAGCTGTACAGACCCGGCATGGTTGCTGCGAAGGATGCAGACCCCGAACCATAGCTCGGTCGCTGGGAGTTCGAAGCAAAAGCACAAGAAGTTGGTTCGGAAAACACCCCGGACGGAAAAACAGAAGTTCCAGCTGTATATTTGGAAAATAAAGCATTCGCATAATACAATGAACTCATAATTTGGCCGGTGATTTGTGGGCCAGGACGTCTCAGTGTCGGTTTTACGAGGTACGGTGATATATTACGGAATTAGAGTCCAGATTTACACCGAAAGAACCCCCTTTTTCCTCCCGTTACACGTGATTTCAGCACGTGACGCGGCGGCCCAATGGGAGCGCGGCTTCCCACTGCTTCTTTTTGGAATGATTAAAAAATTCTATAATTCCCCCAAAAAATCCTTCCACGCTTTCAATGATGCTGATAACTCGCATTGGAACCGAAAGGGAGCCCGATTGAGTTTAAAAGCGGGATAGATTGATAAGTGCTTTGCAGCGGAATATATATGTATATATATATATATATATATATAAATAAATCGATTGGTTTTCTGTCGCCTCTGAGGAAACAATGCATTTGTCAAAAGAGCTTTTTGTTCGCTTACACTGTGACGTTGCGCGCACTACAACTTTAGATAATAGGTATCGTCAGGAGGAAACTGTTTTTTTTTCCCCCCGACCAATGGTTTTGCTTGTGTTTTTATAACACTGCCACAATAATAATCATCATAATAGTAGTCACTACAAAACAAACACAAAATTATATCCATCTGAAATAACCTTGGAAGAGATTTGTGGTGAAGTTCTGTCTTTCTTAAGGGGAGATTATGAATGTGAATGAGTCAGGTAAATCGCAAACATGTTACTAGGTTACTCTGTAACGTGACGAAGGCTGATTGAATTAGATGGAGGAGCTGTGTTGGCCTTTTCATAAGCATTTCCAGCAACATGCCCAGCTATAAAGTATAGCCCTGTAACCAAGCCTGTGTAGCCAACACCTCCTCAGGTTTGGGCTTTTTTCGACCATCCATTAGATCCGCAGAAATTCCCTTTTTTTCAAAAAAAAGCCAGCAATTTCACAGTTACGTTTTCGCTTGTAAAGTTTATTGTGTCCTTTTCCGCCGCTTGCACGTTCAAACAACAGACCGACCTTATGTATAACAATAATGCAGCACCGGCCCTCCCCATAAAAGCAAGTAACGTGTACAGTAGACTTTTCTCACAGTTAAAATTTTAAGGATCACTTTTTTCCTTAAAAAACCTATCTCCACTTTGCACATCCCAACTGGAAACATTCTTATAAATACAGTACAGACGTAAACAATAACACAATCTAGAAAATCTAAATAGGCAGCTTCATGTTGTTGGGTTGTTTTATTCTCTTTTAAGCTAATGATTATTAGCTGAAATAGTGCACACTTGGCTTGAATATTCTAGAGCAGTCAAAGCATCAACACACACTAGCGCACGCTTCCCAAAAACTTCACATTAAACGATGTTACAAGAACCCACTTAAAACAAATAGCATGTTACACTACGCAATGTTTACACCTGGTAAAAAGTTGAAATGTTCATTTACTCTACACCTCAATACATTTTCGTACAATATTTAGTATCAAACGGCAATCAATAAAATTTGTTCGGATTTCTCTTTTTAAAATCTGTCTACATCATTCTATTTATCACCACTTTTGTTAAATGTTTTGAGTTATTAGTTTATTAATCTTTTTCTTCCTCTGGTTCTTCTTTACCCTCCTTCTCCTTCGGAGTCTCTTCTGATTCAGACTTGCTGCTTGGAAACTTGTCTTTGTTGTTCTCTTTCTTCCATTTCATTCGTCGGTTCTGGAACCAAATTTTGACTTGCCTCTCGGTCAGTCCCAGGGCGTGTGATACTTCGATCCGTCTTTTGCGGGTCAGGTAGGGATTGAACAAAAATTCCTTTTCAAGTTCTAGTGTCTGATAGCGGCTGTAGGTCTGTCTGCCTCTCCGCCTTCCTCCAGCTACTGGTAAATAAAGGGAGAAAAGAAATGCAAGGAGGAGGGGATAAGAGAGAGAACTGTATGAGGCTTTTGTAACTCTTATACGGAGGCTTCTGAAGCAGGATTCAAACGCTATTAAGCAGCATTCATCACCGTAGGTAAAATACCCCATAAAAGTGCAATAAAACTACAAATAGTACGCAATATAACACGTTTAAAATACGCCTACAGGATCATTAAAACTATAAAGTAATTCACGTGCCGAAGTTTAGAATCATAAAACAGTAAAAATTCGCAGTTTCCCTTATTGGCTCAGGAAATGCCCTTTCCGTGTGTTTTTTTAAACGCATTCCCCCCCCCCCCCCCCACCCCCTTTCTTGTTGTCTTCCCCTTTCCCTCTCGGATTCGGTTTTAAAACCTCACCTTGCGGTCTCATCCAGGGAAAGAGCTGCGTTGGAGAGGAACTCTGCTCTGAATGCTCTGCCTCTTCTCCTAAGCTGTTGGCGGTTGATTTGCAATCGGAATATTGGATCAGGTCGGTCTCTTGTTGGGCGGCGAAAATTGGCTGTCTCTGCAAAGCATCGTAGCCGTAGAAATTGCCGGGATCCCCGTGACACGTCACGGCACATGGATTTTGTTGATACGCGGAGGTGGAGAGGGAAGATGCTCCATGGTGGTAAAACTCCTGAATCTGGCTTGGATGCTGGAAGCTTCCCCCGGTGCCGGGTCCATAAACCACGGTGGGTCTGCCGCTGAGATCCGAAGTGAAGCCACAGTCATAATAACTGGGGCGCAAAGTCTCCCCACTTTTATACTTAGAAAACAGCGAATTCACAAAGTACGAGCTCATTGGGAAGAATTAAAAGTGTCTCTGTACAAAGGAAGCAACTTAGTGCTTTAGTGCACAGTCTATGAGGCGAACAAACAAAAACAAATGTTAAAATTACGCCTTCATCCTATTGATTGCCATATACAATGTTCTTGGATCACATCATTGTGGAGAGGTGCACCTCATAAACAGTTTTCTGTGATTTACTTCAGCCCAAATGAGTTGTTTCATATTTTGCAGTCTCTTTTCGTGATAATTTGCATTTATTACCTCAACCACGTCCTATTGGCTTCGCTTACTCCGTACGGACACCGCACCTCGTGAAAGAGGAATGGTGAGAGAGAGAGGGAATGAAAGAAAGATAGAGAGGGGGGAATATGCGGATTAATATATTCAACCATGTTCATTACTGGGATATCAGCCGCTTTACAACAGATGAAATACATACGCCACCAAAAGATTGATTTGGGGAAGTATCCATGCTGTGTATATAAAGGATAGACAGTCAGATGTTAATTTGTAGAGCATTTAATGAGAAATGCTTCTCTTTTAAAGGTCAGAGTTACATCAACAAGACGTGAAAGTACAGTAGCAAAACTGAAATCTAATTACCATCAACTTCGGGTGTAATTGCTATATTTCGTCCAAGTTATTGCATTGTACCGCTTGTCCTATTGCTGTCTATCCCAATTATATCCCCCCAAAAACCCTCAAAATAAACATTTGTTCGCAGGGAAAGATGGTGTCTTCGTATTTAAGATTTTAATGATCCGTTTTCCTATTATTAATAAAGCTTTTAATCTGGTGCCAGGATGGACACTGGAACAAGTAAGAGTCATTTGAGAACTGTAGGAAAGAGATTAAGAAACTATAAAGCGCTATAAAACCACATCCTGTTATTGTTTATAACACACAGTGAACGGCAGTTAGGATTTTTACGAGACGCTGTGTGTAAAGCAGTAAAATATAGGTTTCTAAAGTGGACTGACTGTTCCTGTTGGTGTTTTAACGTTAAGAAATAAACGGAGAAAAGAAGGGCTTCTGAAATTACTACTGACTATTCGTTATTAAAAGACCAGTGAAACCACAGATTCGATCTCGTTAAATTAATATTCTTCTTCTTCACTTCCACGCAGACGCAAAGGAATCTTGTTCAGGGAAGTATAAAGATTACCAATATCAGACTCATAGAACACAGAGCATATTGCAGTGAAGGAGTGCATGAGCTGACCATTATATCAATTCTCTCTCTCTCTCTCTCTGATACAAAGGTATACTCATATAGACTTTCATAAATTGTCAGAATTAACAGTCGAAGCATGGTTATTTAAAATAGAATATTAAGTTGAGAAAAGTACTCCCAATTTGGGTTACTATTTACAAAGTAATTTCTTATTATTAAGCAACTAACGGAACGCCATAATAATGAATTATAGTGATTCTATATTAATGACATTTTTAAAGTGTTAGGATTTATTTATGACATCTGGACACAAAGTATTCGATGCTATCTGCACTATAGAACCCAGTAAAGTTTTTTAAAAATATTTTACTGTTGAACAACATTGCAACTTTTGACGCGTGTTTGAACGTATATTTGCGCGTAAGATTTGTGGTTAACCTTTTAACCGTAGGAATCCACTCATTTGACTTATTCAAAGCATTTGGTTTATTCAGTGTAATCTTATTTTGTTCAAACATATCCAATGTACACGTCTTTGTCATCAAACTAGCATAAATTAAACAACGAAAAGTTAGTTTTAAAAAATACCTGCATGCGATTACAGTAATTCAATGGGATTTATTCCATATGAGTTTAAAACCGTCTCTTGAAAATTGTACTGATATTTGAAACTTTAAAAATGTTATTACACATGTCTGAATGCCTGTAACATGTTTTAAGCGAAGAATGGATCATTTTTGGACAAATACTCATGGTATTTGAAGTAATTATCCAAATATAGCACATAGCATGCATATGCATACCAAGTAATCTACATAAAATGAAATTAACTTTATTATTTGGTACTATATAGGACCAAATAATAAAGTTATGACTATCTCTGCAAGAATATAGAAATAAATTAAATATTTGGGACTTTTGTTTGGGCAAATTTCCTTTTTTAATTAACTGTTTGAGTTACAGCATGTGACTGAGCACAAAACTGTTTGGGGATTGTGCAAAACAAATCGTTAGAAGTGAATTGTTGGCAACTGGAGTAAACTGATATGTATGATATATTTTTATTTGTCTCTGAAATTATATTAGTGTTAGTAAACGATTTACCTCAAACGCTCAGGTAATCGTGTTACAATGTAATTGTGTTTCAAAAAAAGTCTGCAAAACACTTTTCAAAACTTTCAAAATGAGTTCGATTCTATGGGAATATTTTTTTCAAATATTCTTTAAATAATGTATTTTCTTGAATTTTAAAAAAAACACGATAAGGGTAAATCATATTGGACTTGGCTAAATCCTGAAATGGCCCAAATAAAATAAAGTATCTATGTTTACAGTTAATCAAACGATTAGACTTTGGATATTTATAAAATGGCATTTTACATTTCTGACCAATCATTTCAGTGACAGTATTAATATAGATATAACTACAATTTAAAAAATGTTATTTTCCGAGCACGTTTTATTCTTACAAGTTACTTCCGTTGTCAGAGCATTTTAAGTGTTACTATTACGTACTTATTCAATTGAATTTACCGGAAATAATATCACAAACAGCTTAGACATAGATGGTGATGCAAAGAGGATTTTTAAAAAATAAGTAAAGTGGTAAATAAATACAATATGGATGATAACACTGAAATTGTTGGTGAAGACTTGTGCGGTTAAAATGACTGACTCCATTGCATTTGGTTAATTATTGGAAGATATCCGTACGGTTTAAAACAATTTCTTTTCGCAAAAGACAAGCGAGATGTACACCTTGCACCGCAAAGCTGACCAGTGAATATCCCACGTGATAGTTGGGTTGTTAGGTGGTGGAGAGGTGTTGTTGTTCGATGGTTGGAGAACCCATTTATTTAGAACCTCCATTCAACGGATTTCTTAGATGGGTGCTTCATCAGTAACTCCTTCATATATTCGCCCGCTTCTAAGGGTACATTTCCGCTTGTTGGAAATATTCAGATACGGTTGTGTTCCTTATTTCCCCCCACTTCCCCTCCTCCCACCAGCCCCCACTCCCACCCCCCCACCCCCCACCACACCCAACCCCCACCGCCCATAGAATGTTTAAACCAAATTGTGCAGATGCATTTGGCAGGTACATAGAGTCAACTTTTCGCACATTTCAGCATACAATATGCATGTTCACTTAAGGGCCTTGGGTTTCCATGTATTGTTGTCAAATGTATGCATCATCAGCATCACAGCAAAGTGATATTTAAAACTGCTGATGATTCATACTTCTTGATCTATATGTTTACAGAGTTGCTAATGTCAAAATGGATCAGGAGTTGCAGCCAAACTGAGGGCCAGACGTAATACATACATATGTTTTTTTGAATGTGAAAGCTCCAGTTACTCAATTGAGGCACTATATATGCTTTAGTAAACAGAAGGCACAATAATTGAAATTAGTTTGGAAACTTTTCAGTGCTCCTAGATTTTTTTTCTGTGAAATCGAAAGTACCATGGTCAAACCATTTGAAATCTGAATTCTTCTCTGGCGTTGCATGTTTACTGCTGGACTTTAGGTGTAAACATGTAAAGACAGAAAGCGAAATGAGGCAATTTCTGTAAAAACTTAACGAGGAAAATGTATAGACTCATCGATATTATACGTGTGCACAGTAAATGTAATGCATAACAACCAGCAGCCAGTCTACATATAAGTCTCTGGATGTAAATACATCTATTCTATGCCTGTTGTTATTTTGATGCTCGTCGTGGTGATAGGGAGATGGAAAGATAATCCAATGACTGTAATGAATGGGAAATCTGAAATACTAGTGTTTTATTGTGCAGTTACTGAAATTCCAGATACTAACTCACTCATGAATTAAATACAGAAAAGTAGAGAGGGCATGTACTAATTACATAAAATGTAACAGTGCTGACATAATTGAAATAGGCTGTATTCTTACTATTACTTTGGCAAAATACCACTAATTTTGGCTTCTAAGGCAGTAACTCTTATTGAATGCGTCGGTCCTGCTCCAGTGTAATTCTTATTTAATGTAACTATTTTGTCCTTATCCACCTCTGTCTATTGTGAATTGCGTGACTCCAGCTTTGGACGGACAGAGGATGACTACTTTGACTGATCGTGTAAATCTTTTAATTTTTTTTCCCTAACAGATAGAAGCAATCCATAAAGCCTGGAGTGAAAAAGAATTCGCACAGATTGAAAACAAATCTAAGAAAATATTTCCAACAAATCACTTCCAGAAGTGGAAATGGTCTGAATGTCGCTACTGACAATAATCAGCAGCTGCGTATCAATGAATATCAATGCGAAACTACGTTGAAAGGTACGTTGAAATCTCAGAAACGTACATTTTCATCTGTAAGATAAGCATTGCAGATTTTCTCTTTTTTTCAAGTTTCTTTACAACACTTAACTGCTTCCAATTAAATGTAGTGCATTATTTTCAACAGTATAAATAGGAATTGAATAAAATGCTAATGTTAAAGAGACTCTCAAATTGGTGAATTGCCATCTAATCTTTTTTCACAAACAGAAGTTGTGTGTTTGTATATTACTTATTTCGGAATTTCACACGACTGTATTTTCTGACCCAAATGTCATAGCTATTCCACAGTAACGGAAAGTGGTCCTCTATTCAGTTTTGACTGCATCCAGAATGGTTAAAATTTCGCGCGGCCCAAAAGATGGTCGTTTACCACTACTTATTTCGCGAAAGTAGTTCCAAATTAATATAAACAATAACTTGGCGCAAAACGAGACGATCGCGGCCGTGAAGAATAATTGTTGAAACCTCTTTGCGAGGGCTTTGCTGAAAGCATAATGAGAATGCCAAAGGTTTAGTAAAACTGTGCCTTTATTTTATATTAATTTTGTGTGTTGCCCCCGGACTGGGTTGGCAAAGTAAAGGCAGCTGTGGCTGTAAGGCTTGGGTTTGAGATGAAGGGGCACAGTTGGCCGCCAGATCTGTGTTTAGTGGAACAATACTGCCATCTACTGGCAATACGAGGAAGTCATCTGCATTTCTTTTCCGAAAAAGGATGCAAAAAAAAGTACTGTATTAACAAATATGCGCAATAGAGCTATCAAACCCGCTATAAAGAATCCATTAGATGCAAAATGCAGCGAAGGGAAATGTTAGTTTCTCAATCTCAAATACGCTCACGGACAGTACCAATAAACCTCACGGTCCGTGCAATGGATCGCTAACATTCAATTCCTCGGGGGCAATAAACAGGAAGAAGAAAAAGAAGAGTGTGGTGGGGGGGGGGAAGCTTTGAGAATTCCATTGTCCCCACCTCCGAGTCTAAACAATTGAGCTTTCTGTGTGAGAATAAAGTCCCAAGGATTGGCGCAGGGTTGTAAACACAGTCAAAGCCTTCGCTCCAGACGTCTCGCCATACTCTGTATAGCTTTTTATTGCAGCAATTTCTGGCAGCCTGGAAAGGGTAGGCAGTGGAACAAAAGAGGGCGTCACTTGCTTTGGAGTCTAAAGCATTTTAGTTACACTGTAACACCACTGTCAGTTTTCCCTGAAAAACACAATTGCTCTATATTTCCTTCGGAATAAAAAGCAACTTTATTTTCAAACATGCGGTGAGCACTTCTGACAGTGAATTTATTTGAATGTGTCCTGTAAGTTTCTCCTTTGGTGTATTTGTTTTACAGAGGCTCAATTTTAAACCTTCAGAAATGTATACCCTATAAACTTTTACAATGGCCATATTCTGTTATTGCAGTACACCACCGTGAATTTCCTTTAATGACAGGCCACTTCCTAAGTCCTCCTCCGCAACTCGAGGCTTATTTTGACTTTCTTTTTGTGAGTGCATTTGCTACCTGTAATATGAAGGCGAAACATTGCTACTCTAATGCTTCTAAATTGTTGCACGTAGGTTATTTTTAGAATCTAATCAGTGGATAATTCAGTCACCCTCACCCCTATCGATTTGAAAACATCTGACTATCCAATTTTCCTGATAAGGATGTGTCAAAGCATCTAAATATAGATTATTTAATATAGCCAATAGAAATCCACACCAACCCAATTCCACTTAAACCAGTTCTAAAGAAAAGTCTTTAAAAATCTCCGTACTGCATTGCCACCAATCGGAATTTTCTTTACAAGGGTCATTTTGAGCAACACAACAACGTCTCCCAGTGTTCACAAGAGAATCAATTGCACAACTTTCGTTTCCAGCACAAGTGAAATATGTTGCTTATTAATGAAGATTTACGCATACATTTGAAGATGTACATGTTCTAAGTCTTTGGGCTCTCTGTTGCTTTCAATAAGCCAGCTAAATAAATTTCACCTAATACATTCTTGTTGGAGCGTCCTTGTGTAAAATTTGCCTTGATAAATTATCGAGGGCGGTTCAGCGACACTTCATATCTTAGAATTATTATTGTGATGCCATTTTCCACTATTTTATTTGCACAGTGTAGCAGTTGGGTGAAATAACTTTTCATGTCATTTGTTGTGAATCAAGTTGTAAGGAGCTGTACTACAACAAATATTTAGTTGTTCTGTTACATCATAGATAGATCTACAATGATTATTATTATGTAATCAGCTCCAGATGGGCATTAATGTACAATAACGTTCCACACCAACTCACTCTGCGTAACTGGAGTCAGCAAACTAGCTTTTGGATTTCTTTCGTTCACATTTTTTTTCTTTCTCTATTTTCAATGGGCTCATCCGAGCAATCTCGAAAGAGGACTTACTCAATCGTCCCTTTATTTGGTGGGGGGGGGGGGACACGAGTGATTGCATGCTGAAAAGTTATACATGTTTATTGCAACAATATGAATTGCAAGTGATGTGCGGGGACTAGAATATAATTTTAGCAAGAATAATAACAACTTGCATTTGCATAGCGCCCTTCATCATGGATAGCATCCCGGGGCGCTTTAAGGCAGATTATAACAGAATTTGAACCTTTTTCCTGAGTATAATTTCTGTCAAAGTTTTATACAGGAATTTATTGTGTATTTTGACTTTATTCAAATAACTGTGATACTTATGACCCATTGAGTGGATAGCAATAAATAACATTTTATGATGTGTACTAAAACGTTCAAGAATAAAATATGCAGAGTGTAGAAGTGAACAGCAACAAAAAAGATCAGCTTAGGATTTTTGTAATATTTTGTTTTATGGCGAGTTAATTAATCCGTCAAAAGAACCCACAAATAATGGGTAACCCAGCCACGGAAATCCTTCTCGTAAAGACCCCCAGAAGAAATACAGGCAGCTTGCATATCAGTAATTGTTGCTTCCCTATGATGAAGGCAAGTTAACGAGTAAATCTGTTTAAAGTTTCTACAGAGCCAAGCCTTATTGTCTATCGATGTGGTATTGAGAATGTATTTCACTAATCAAGGTAACTCCGTTAAGATGGCTCCGTCCCAAATACAGGATCTCGATCCACCATACGATAGGTTTGAGTTTAATTTATGTTTGTTCTCCTTGCACATATGTGAATGTATTTTTTTTTGCATTATATGCTATTGACAACCTGCATGTGAGTGTACTGTTAAGAGGTAGTTTATTGGTAAACCTAAGTGAACTTCAAGATAAGAAAATGACGGAATCGCTTTTTTCCTCTTTTGTACCTCTATGGCTGTTCTCTTAATAATAGCGTTGTCGTTTGTCAACAGTGAAAGCTCAGTCTGGATTCAAGATAAACATTTGAATTCTTTGTTTCTAGTGAAACTGCAAACGTTATTTTGGTTTCCGCTTTCAAAATTGATCTTTATATTCCTTTAGAATGTGCGTTTAAGAGAAATGGAAACACAAACCCGCTTCAAATTATTATAACGGTGATGTCAAAAAACGACAAGACAGACAGAAACTTTGGGAAGAACACTCCACGTGGAAATACGGTTTCCAGCTGTTCAACGGATTATTGTTCGCATATTCCTACCCCTGACCGATAGCGATTTTTTTTCCCGTGTGTGCAACAAAAAAAAACTGCCCTCGACCATGTGATACCATTTGGTGGGTTTCATTCATTTTTTTAAAAAAGAAATCACAATGCAACTGTTTCACTGGAGGAAGGGCCCGGCTTTAATTTTGAACCTTGTGTGCGAAATGGAGTTTGCCGAAAGGAAAACACGGACATGTGAAAGCAATAACGTGCAACCGATTGGAAATTTTCAGTTGGGCAGAGAGAACGAGGTACATTTCACGTTGGTCCGGAACGCTTCTGCTCTACACTTTCTCTATTGTGTCGCTCTGGTTTTGTCTCCCTCTTTTGTTCGCTTTGGCAGCCAATCACGACACGAGCCCCCTCCCCCAGGTTATCCTAAAACGGTATTTTATTTCTAAAATGTCATCAACTTCTACGTTACAGATCGTTAAAGTTTCACTTTCACCACAAGTACACATGTGCCGACTACAATAAGTATTTTTTTTTGAAATTTTTTTTAAAAAAATTAACCACACGGTTGCATTCTGACCGTAGTTTTACGAACTGGTAATATTGGGAAGAACACCCAATCGTGAAAGCTTCTAATTTAAACCTTAAGAGGTATCATGTTGCACACCAGTACACACTTACACACAGCAGAACTAAGGATGAAAACTATATTACTGATTTAAATAGAAAGCACACTGTCCTCAAGCAGGTAAACGCCTAAGTCATAGAAATGAGATGTATGACTTGATAGAAAGACATTTTTCTTTTTTAAAAAAAATCGTTGTTCCGATACATAGAAATGGAACACTTCTTAAACAAAACATGAATTATAAACATCCTTTTTTTACACGTAAACAGGCGAAGATAAGTAATGTTAAATCATTTCTAAATCAAAAAAAATTAAAAATATATATTTCGTCCCTTTTTTTATATAAAAAAGATTATTTTCCAACACGTTAAGTCAGAAGGAATGAAGGAAGCGATGGATACTTGCAAGCGTTGCACAGATATTTTAATAATTTATAAATAACCTTAAAGATTACCTAAAAAGAGCAGACGCGGCCAAAATAAAACAAGATCCTGTGTGCATGACTGGAATAGTTGGTCGGAATGAGAGGAAGTGGTATCCTTTAATATCCTGCAATAAAATCCTTTACACGTGACAGTATTCCCTGAATAAATGCAGTTAGATCAGTTCGAATTAAACTGCCGAATAGCTGGATGTTAAAACGAATCGTTCTGCCTGTGCAGCATTTCCCCCTAAGTTGCTCGAGGTCTCCACTCACTGCGCCTTAAAGGATGTATTGCATTGTGTGACCGTTATTATTTCGCGAAAGGTTCAGTTTCCAGCAGAGGCGGTGACCGGGTCCTATTTCCCGTGCTCCTTGTTTAGTCTCTTCAGCTTCATTCTCCTGTTCTGAAACCATATTTTGACTTGTCTTTCAGTCAAGTTGAGAAGATGGGCCACCTCGTGCCTCCGGTCTCTGGTGAGGTACATATTGAATAGAAATTCTTTCTCGAGCTCCAAAGTCTGATATTTCGTATAAGGACATCTTTTCTTCCTTGTCGATCGAGCGTGCAACCAATTTGCCGAGGGATTATCTGCAGATTTGTATTTGGTGTGTGTGGGGGGGTGGGGGTGGGGGTGAGGGGTTGGTGGTTGGGTGGCGGCGGGGGGGGGGGGGGGGAGGAAGAGGGAAGAGCAGATTAAGAGAAAAAATAACGTTACAATCCTATGCATTTGCTATATTTTCAGATTGTTTCAATACGCAGCAGACCATTTACAGCCAGGAAGAGAAATAGCGAGGCTGTTTTGTTACCGCTCAGTATGGCCGGCTACCAAATTTGTGATGTGTGAATTTTGTGAAAGTTTCTCCGGATGTTTGCGATGTAACAGTAAATTATCCAACCGCGTAAAAAAATACTTCACTTAAAGTCGTATGGTACCGGTTCCCACTCCTGTTCAAGATATAAACCACTAGATGCAGAATAGTGTTTGTTTATTGCCTCTTGGTGGACAGAGTGGTAAAACAAAACTCATTAAACGTTTGCAGGTGGCTGTTTGTAAAGCCAATAAAATACAATTGCGGCACGTAAAATAACACGCAAGATAAAAGCGAATTAAATGCTTGCGGTTAAACTGGAAATAAATTATACTGTTTTATTAGGACCTGCTGCGGGCGTGTTTTTTTTTATATATGACGTTCGTTATCTATGCGCGTTCTGAAGGGGAGTATATCGTTCTCGAGGTTTGTAACTTACTTTGATGTCTCGTCTCTTTGTCTTCGGTGGCTTCACATATGGTATTGTCTTCATAATACGGCGCTTTGCTGGGATCGATGGCCTCGTTCTCCGAAGATTCACAGGTTATTTTTTGCAGCGGCACCAGTAACGTTTCCCCGCCAGCACCGACCAATGACTCGGTTTTCAATGAATCCTGGCGGTTGGGAGCTATCCCCGGTACAGCCACGGTCCTGGGCGTAGGCTCCAGCCAAGACCGCATGTACCTGCCCTCCGAGGAGACGGGGTTAGTCTGGACGAAAGGATGGTACACTGCAGATGCATTGCCAGTGGTCTGCGGGTACAGAGGACTCCACGAGGTGCTGAATGCAGGAGATTTAGGCTGAAAATTGCAAGCTGAGAAGTCGGGGTGCTCAGTAAGCCCCGTCTGTCTGGAGACTATATATTGCCCCGGAGTAAACTTGGTGGAAGATGTCTCCTCACTTTCATGACTTATAAGAGAATCTACATAATAATTGCTAATTGACCCAGAGATCGACATTTTCGAACATCGTACTCATTGGGAAATATACGTAAGGCTAGAAATTGTTCTCCCAACTTCTCAACCAACAAAGTAGAGTTAGCTGATATGTTGTGGGCTATCTGCAAAACGATTGGTTAAAGTTTTCATGTGGCCGACAGAGCGACAATAAAACGTAAATCAATCCGCAAAGGGAGGGTTACACAATTAACATACATCCCACATTAAGAATCTTTTGATGATTATATCCGTATTCATGCAACGAGAACACCAGCACACATATAAATATGACTATGTTTAAGAACACAAAAGCTTGTTTTAACTTTCAAATTCAGCATTTCAAGGAACTATTTTGCCCCCTAATTAATCTTCTCCTGTGTGGCACATTCCCACACCATGTCTCATAATTGTTCGCCTTATTATTTTAACAAGTTACATAAAAGAACATCAAATAGGATTTTCGTAGTAGACAACTCTTAAAACTCGATGGGTGCTGTGGGCGCTGATAAGTTTACTCTCGAAGGCCAGGCGGTTTACATAGGCTCAGGCTTGAGGGATTGCCAATAAACGCGTCAACTTTTCAGTTTCCAATAACCCGAAGGATCTAACGCTATGGAAGCAAAGTGCTCGCACGCTTGCGAATGTCTGAACTCTTAAGAACTTAACTTGTTATGAAAATAGACATCTCACAAATTAGAATAAACCAACTCGACTTTTTTTTAAAAAAAAACAAATTCCATTTGGGGCAGAAAATAATTCGAACTGGAACCAGTTTTATTGGACAAAGCTCGATGTTCCAACCGCTAAACTTCTACAAAACAGCTTTGGTTTTTGCTCCCGAAAGAGGCAATGGGGAAAGAAAGCGAACGGCTCTGCTTGCGAAATCAAGTTTTACAAATTGTCTCCTTTTCAAAGCGGCGTTTCAAACAATCTTACAGAAGCTGAGAAGCCTGAGAAGAGAGTTTGCTTTTAAAAAATTATTCCAGTTGCAGAAAAAAATCATACGCATGGTTATAGTACGTCATTTGGAAAGAGTTGGAAATGCTGAACTTGGCTCATCATATTTACGTTATCTCACCTAATGAAAGCGCCATCCTTTTCGGGAAGAATGAACACTGTTCAAGACATATTTGTGTGGCCATAAACACACACCTACTGGAAAATACTTTATGAATAGACCTCCCAAAGCACATCCGCGCTAATTCATAAAAGTAGACACAATATGGCGTGATTTACAAACAGATATAGAATCGAAAGCAGAATGTTGTTGAATATGTATGTGATCACAGTTCCTCCTTTGCATTAATTTATAGTATTTTTACAATAGGAATTTAGGAACTTAAATGACAAATTAAAACTGGACACTAAACAGTAAGATTGAAACTCAATCGCCGTATATAAAAGAAAATGTGATTATTTTTCAAGTCGCAAAAGATTACCAAAGTTAATCAGCTAAACTGAAGGTAAGAACAATGAATATTATCCTTATCGAGATTTCGGGTTAAGATTTATTTTGACTTAATGGGTTGGAAAATTAGAATCGTTTTATTCCACCAACGAGGAATATGCCTTCTTTCATAAACTTTTCTTTTTAAATGAAAAAAGTATTAATGAAATAACTGTGTATCTTTGCATTTTAATTTTGGAGACCTCTATAATTTTGGTTTCGCCCACAATATGCAGTCAATTCAGTAAGATTCCTGTTAGTATCAGCCGCCTATTTTAAAGTATAATAATTAAATTTATGTGACCAATGCACTTCGCATCAGAGAAAATATATATTCGTATCCGAATACTTAGAATAACATTGAACTTTTTGAAGATTGCTTTTGCTTTAGATATTCTTCTTCAAACTTGCACGTCTTAAAACTATCTTTGATTTTTATATTTGTTTTTTTAAAAAAGAACGGGAAACTGCATTAGCCAAAGTGTTATGTAAACTAAACAGCGAGTATGCCTTGCTCTCTCTCTCTCTACATACTACTCACATAGCAATTTCTCCATGTTAGTATTCAGGAGTGACACAGTCTTCTTCAACATGTCTTCTGTGGTGTGGTACATATGATGAAACCGTACAATTCATCACCTAAAGTGACCAGATTCAAAGGAATAATACGATAAATTCGTTTTATGCTGTTTAACTGTAAAACAATGCAATTGTGTATATATATTGGCAATACCAAGAAAGCACGTTTTGATGAAACTAAAACGATCCTTAGGCGTACAATATTGTTCTGCATAATCATTTGAATTATATTCATTCAATAAGTGCTTTGTAAGGCGGCTCACACTTCTTTGGGTCTATTTGATTTTCAGGAAATTCAATCTGCTGTGAGGGATTTTGTAAATGGTAAATTCCCGTTGTGCAACACAATCCAGAATAGAGATATTCATTTTATTTCGAATGTAATCTTATAAAGAAAGAGATGCGATAGTTCCTCCAGGTTTACTGGAGCTTGACTATTCGATCTCGGCCGTATCCTTGCCATTTTTGGGCAGTTTTAAACCAAGAAAGAAAGTAAAGCAATACATATGCTAAACCATAGTTAGAACATCGTCCATTGTATAGAAGTTTCACCGATATTCCAGTTAAACTTGCATTTGAAAGTGATTTAGCAATCGGCAACAATCGGTGGTTTTGTTGGTGAAAATATGAGTTAATTGTTGAAGGGCACATAATGCTGCAGCAAAAATGAGGTTCTGTTATTGGGTCAATATTGAAGAAGTGAACTTTCTGTACAATTCAAGGTAGCGAAGGTGAATTTTATTTTAGCGATAGGCAAATAGCACTGTAGTAATCCATACTAAAAATATAATTATCGGCCAGTGTTCCCGTTATAGCCTATAAAATATATTACTGCACCAATGGGGTTTTACTGGGGTTATTTTTAAGGAAATTGTCGGATCATTTTTGAACTTCAACGATGTGGCTTTTTTTAAAAAAAACAATGCTTTTAAGGGGCAAATCCGTGTCAATAGAAAATGGCGAATGTCTCCTCCAGCGATTGGGTCATGAATAAGAGCAGTCCTGTCGGTCGGGGTCGCTGCAGTCTATTTAAGGTGGGACCGACACGTTTTGTTTCGAAGCGACAGTCTTGCCTCAGGCCTAACTCACAACAACGTGGGCCACCACTGAGTTTACACAAAACACCAGAGACCGTTATCCACTAAATAGTCTCAGTGCTGTGACACTAAGACTATTCCCAACGCAAGGAAAGCATTTTCATGCGCACAGTGTGGCTCACTTCAAGAATCGATGGACGGGAACGGATGGACAGGGAAAATAGCCAACCCCTGGTTAAATCAAAAGCATATTCCATATCACAAAGTAGATGGGCGATGGGCTGGAGTGCCGGATAGCAAGAAAGTTTGGAATTTTCCTTTTTCCTGGATTCGATCAGTCGATTCGTCGGAATCCAAACTCGGTTGTGCGTGTGTTTGTGTGTGTGTTTGTGTCTGTGTGTGTTTTGAAAAGTGGCCCTATACCAAGTACTCAAGCGACGGAAATAACCATGTTGCAAGTAAACGAAATATTTACACTTTGGTCACTTTACAGGATATAATTGAACCTAATATCCGGTGAAATTGTATGAAGGAAATCCTCACTTCCTGAGGAAGTGGATGAGTATAGCTGGGGTTCATGGAATACGTTTATTCAATTCGATTATTGCAGTTAGAAAATGGAATTTGTTCAATACGATTTATCCATTAAAGGGATTAATTGAAATGTACGAGCAATAGTTCCTCTAGCCAGGACAGTGACATTTTGCATTAAAGCTTCTTTGGATGCATTGACAAGGCTATTTTTTAAAAAACACTTCTTCAGACTTGATGCAAATAGAAGCTTAAAACAGAACAAACTAAAGACCTGTTGTTATGAGTTACCTTTCCTGTGGTCCTCATTCTCCTTTGGAACGCAAACCAGAGAGAGAGAGAGAGAGAGGTAGAGAAAGAGAGAGAAACAGAAAGCGAATTCATAAACGAAATTAACTTATAATCCAAAGAGCTACTCATTTTAGTTTGTCGGGTCATCCTCCCTTCTTCAAGACATTTCCTGTCCCTTTTCAAACACTTATTAACAATAAAAATCCTGGAATACTTAAATAGCAACACGCTATTTCGGTGGTATATTCTGTGAATATTGGTTAACATTCTTAAATAGTTATATTAATGAAATTTCTCTGTTCCTCTGTTCCTCTGTCTGTCTATTTATCTATCTTTCAATCAAAAAAAACGTGTATTACAAAAAAATGATTTATAATTTATACACAGTATACTTTATGCAAATATACATTAAACAAAAGCAATTTTTTTTAGTAGTAAAGTATAAAGTTAAACCATTTTGCTATTGTATGGTTTGTACAGTAAATAAACTATATACATCTATAAATTCATACGCTGCTGTGCGCAATTGGCTGTCGCGTTTCGCCCACAAAATATACAGACAATTCACTTTACAGTATACTCTGCGAAGCGCTTTGAAACGTCTCGAAGACATGATAAGGTGCTATACCAAATCCAAGGATTATTATTATTATATACAGACATATGTACAGATCTATCTGTGCGTAGATTACGATAACATCAGCAGCTAGTATCCATACCAACCAGACCTAGCAAACTCACACAACAAAATTGGGCCTTTGTGAGCCACTGTAACAGCATTTCTTCTGGAGGGAAAGCAATCCACTTTCTAATTAAAATCCAACAAGTTTGCGATGAAAATAACTGGAGTAATACAGGCAGTTTCTTGTCACTGTGAACAAAGAGCAGCCCAACAACAGGAAACTACCTAAATCACACAACAGTTGCATTTCACTTGCGCCAAAGATTGCACCTAATGAATGTAGTTTAGTCCCAATCGCAAACTAAAGACCATTTTGCTAAACGTTTTCTTTCGATCATAAAAACGTTCTATGGATTCTGAATTAAAAAGGACGAGTTATCACAAACTTCAAATTTGCAGTTGGTTCTATTCAACTATTTCAACTAGATGTTTTGCACATTGTTTATCTTACACTATTGGCCCTGTGAACGGGTGATCGAAATATTTTTTGAAAATGAAACAACCAATGTCACAGTTACCACAGTGATCTTTTAAAATTTTCATCTTCCATGTCAACCACGTGACTATTTAGCTCCCAAATTAAACCCAAACCGCTATGAATGGTGCAAAAGTTCGCAAAGGAATTCAGCTGAATGCAGCCACAACGACATTCGTTTGCAAAACTGTGTGTGTGTGTGTGTGTGTGTGTGTTAAAAAAAAGTCCTACCATTCCGTTCTTATCCTTTAAATGTGCTGCAGCCAAGTCTGAGCACCAGTTGGCCAAATCCGGCTTGAAGTTTGCAAAGCAAGTGTGGCATTTCCCTGATCTCAAAGTTGTGGTGCATGGCGTGCTGCTCCGAACCAAAGTGCCCAAACCCAACAGCTCCTACATGACAGCAACTCGCCAAACATATTTACAAGCCATAAAATGTTATAAAAGCAGACGCGGTCGGCCATAATATACCGTCACTGCTCATAGTCAAATTACGACTGTCTAGATAGTATTTAAATCACCCACACCGGAAATCAAATAAATTTAAACTACAGGCTTTTTCTTTGGGATACGAAGCTTGTAGATTTCCCTTTCTTTTTTTTTCTCGCTCTTTTTTTTAACCATCAACTTGTCTATTTCAGGTCAATTTCACGGGTTCAAAATCAACCAACCACCATCCGTGATGTCCACGAGCCGGACTCCGATAAAGAAAAATCGCGGAATGAATGATCTTAATGAATTTTTAGAAGTTTTTTTGGGGGGGGGGTGAAACATCATGAAAGTCCAGACAATTGGAACTTATCTTTATTTATTTTAAATCTGGATTTAACAGAGCCCTACAACGAGGCTAACGAATTAATACAACGACTTTAAGCCGTAAAAAAACCTATAACATGCCATACAAAACATTTAATACACAATGTAAAATGAAAATATTTAATTTCAACTGTTATTGGTAGAATTACAGTGAGAATATTGTTGTCCACTATTTACACTGTGTCACTTCCATGGATGAGGGTTTCGTGGTTAGTTCAGTGTCATAGCAGTGAACAAGAAATGACGAGAAAATCAGGAATAGTCTTTGGTGTAATACGTTTGTTTCTTTAAAAATAAATAATTTTTTTTTACATTTTTCGAAGTTCTAACATCTAGTGTAACAAACGTCTCCCTAATTCGGCACAGGAAAAGGCGAAGTAACGAAGAAACGATCAAGGTTTAATAATCTTCAGACATTTTGAGAAACATGTATCACAGATACGTGATTTCTAAGTACAACACACATTTTAATTAGTATACAATATCTACTCAAGGTGAAAGTTTGCTGTAAGAGGTATAAACTGTGCACTCGCTTGTTTGGCAAACTCAGGTTAACCCTGACCACTATTTTCACATTTGGCTACAACCCCCCTCCCCCCCCCCCGCCCCCCCTACACCCACCCACCCTCCACCCGACCCCCACCCAAATTGGTTTCCACCTTAGAGAAAATGTTCTTCTGTTTCATCAGTCGAATTAGCTGGTGCACTTAGTTTGCGATTCTGTCACTGATATCACGTTAATTCCGCTTTCTGTCACTCTGTTCGTGCTAGCTTTGATAAGAAAACCTTCCATTGCAACTATAACGTGGATTAGAAGGCGAAAATAAATCATTAGCTTAAGTCTGGAACTTGTGGATGAGGTCAGGGTGCAATTGGATCTCACCAAGATGTTGTTCCCCAGCATTTTCCAAAGCGAAGCATATCTTTCAAAGTGGAACGAAGTGTCTGGGGTATTTATAGGCGTGGTGGGGGTGGTGAGGGGTTATAGACAAAGAGCAGGTTTTAATCATAAAAAGTTCATATTTACAGGCTATTTATGCAAATTGTGTGCCACTGGAGATGTGATCTGGAGGTGTCGATGTCAGGTGACGAATGATTTCAATTACTTGATTTTAATCAACACATCGTACAAACGTCACCTGTTTAAGCAAAGTCCTGTATGTTCATGGCATCGCATTAAGATTTAGTCATCCGAGTTGACATGTGTAATCCTCATTTTAAAAAATCCCTTAGGCATCCAACAGCTGTTGGTGTCTTCGTTGATATTTAGTGTAGTAACCACCTCAGGTTTTCACATAATCATTTTAAGCAGAAACAAACTCAACATCTGTTGACCTCCAACAATGCAGTTCTACCTATCGAAGGCATTATTTTCGTAAACTCAGTTCCACCGTCCTTTGTGCACTGGAGCTATACTGGAAAGGTAATATCGACAATTTGGGGGTTGGTAGGGTGGGTGGGGCGTGTCCTAAAATGTCTCTTAAATATATTGAACACTGTGTGGAGAACAATACCCAATCCCACGTGCATTGAAGTAACAGAGAAATTCACGTTTTGACACTTTTGTAACAAAAGGATGATAAAATAATTCGCAGGGAATCTGTCATAGGAAGGAAGCGAGGGTTAGCAGTTATTGGTGAAGAGTAAAGCCAAGGACAACTATTATACAAAAGGTTTTCTTTGCTCTTTATCAGATCGTCTTCCATTTTACGAGGAAACTTGGATTTGCTTCAATAAACAATGGAATGGATCTATTCCAGGCTGACATTTCCCCACAAACAAGAAATATTCCCAATTTTATTCCCTAATACTCAAATTGCTCCACAACGAGTACAATGTTCGCGACATTTGTGACAAGCATGGTTGTTTCAACTGTTTCCTGCCCATTTATGTTTGTTGTTGCACGTTAATGACAAAAAAAATTAGGTGTACAAATGGCTTACTCTAGGACATAAACTAAGTATAAAATTGCTCTATTGTCCCGGCATAAACTCAAGTCGCAGATTTTAAAATGGTTATATTTCTAAGCGTAACATACACGTGTAACCAACTATGCGCCCATTTTAATCAAATGTAATTCAATCCAAATGCCACGAAAGGAGGACGATGAAAATATCATCCGAGCCAAATATTTGTTTTATCAAATGTTTTCGATTATTTTCCTTATAATTAGTTAATAGGACGCCTAAGTTAATTTATTTCATTAATGCACGTCTGCACAGTTTCAGGGGACACTGTAGTTTTTATTTTATGTAGAGTTAACAAGCAAATCCCAAAAAATTGAGGTTGAGTTATTTTGAACTTGCAACCTCTGGGCTCCATCTTGTTTCTTTCTCCTTCACCCTCCCCCACTCCCTACCACCCCGCTGGCTGAATGTTGTTCTAGGGACTAGACTTGTGAACTTGCAGCTCTACTACCCCCCGGCCTGTCAATGTTGTTGTAGAGTCTAGACTTCTGCCAAAAAAAAACGAGTCGTTTGCATCTGCTATCCAATTAATAAGTGCTAATCAGATTGGGAAACTGGTTGGCATTTCTCGAATTCTATTTTCCCTGCTCATCTTTTTCAGCTTCATTCTTCTGTTCTGAAACCAGATTTTGACTTGTCGGTCAGACAGATTCACGCCCCGGCTGATCTCCAGTCGGCGCTCTCGAGTCAAATACATGTTAAAGAGAAATTCCTTTTCCAGTTCCAGGGTCTGGTGTTTAGTGTATGGGCAGCGTTTCTTCCTTCCGCCCTTCGGAGTCAGCCAGTTTGTCGCATTCTCCGCCTTTGTGTGTTCTGTCAATCGGGAAAAACAAATTGTCAAACGGACTGCCGAATAAAAGTGTTCTTTCTTTATTTAACCCCAACAGCATCGTGACCCGAGATTCAAAAGGGTCTCTCATTTGAGGAAATATTAGCGAACCATCCACGATTCTTCTTGGATCAAAACACAAACTGTAGACGGTGCTGGACCTCAAATTAGTGGAACCTATTTTTATTTTTCAATCGCGACGTTAGTTTCGTCCAGGAATCGAAGGGGAGAATTCACTTTGCGACAGGGCCAAAAGTTGCACACTTAGAACTTAATTCAGAATGTTTACGAAATACATGAAGACGGTGTAACTATATCAAAAGTTACTGATTTGCAATCTAATGCAATACAATATCGCTCGAAGAGAGCCTTTGTATAGCCTTATGACAGCAGCCCTCGAAGTGAAGTGATATATACATATATATATAATGGATAGAACGTGCCAGAATCATTGAACATGCTCTTTTACACACGACCTGCGCTGCCTAACAAAAGCAGGACTTTAGTATTATATATATATGTGTGTGTGTGTGTGTGCGCGCGCGCGCATAAAATAAACCTAAACTCATTTGTACTGAACCGGTTGGATTTATCAGCGAAACCACATTGACATCTATTGTTATTCCTTTAATGAATAATATCCATTGGACAATCGCGTCACCTTCTTTTTCTAACTGGATGGATGCATTAGCAAATAGCTCTTCTACACCCCCGAGTTGTCGGCCACGCACGCGACCGTTGTTCGTGACCAGGTTCCTCGCTTCCGAGCGCACAATAAGGCGCTCATGCACTGAATTGCACGAAGGTTATGATTTATACAGTAAAGGGATGTTGTCGTTTTGAAAGGAGAAGCGCACAGATACTTGGAGCTTTTTCTTTACGGGAGGGATTATCGATAGTGCCAAACAGCTCCCCCCCCCCCCCCCCCGCTATTCATTCACCTTTTAATGGAAAGTTTTAACCACAGTCTTATCATTTTGCATTCCAACACGGTCAGAATGAAGTCCTTGTGTTCAACGAGTGATACACACTGAAAGCTGCAGTAACTGTCTCGCCACAGAAGTAATCAGACTTACACAGCGGTTGTTGTTTGTTAATTGTCAAAGGATTGTCAAGGAACTTTCACATGGGCGCGAAAAGTTGCATAAAAGCACCCCCCAAAAAAAACTATTTATGTGGAAGCGTTTAAGCAAAACACCAATCATTTCAAAAACGGTGAGGATTGTAAATGGTGTGAGAACAAAATCTCAAGATTTTAATTCATTGTCTATTAACCACTCGTCTGTGAAGGTTTTATGGTCACGCTTCAAATAAACTTTCATTGCTCGGTTGAGGTGAAAATTGACTGGAAATAAAGACGGTTGGGATGGAAAGCATTGGATCTGATTATTTTAATGGCTTTGATTACAGTTTCAACAGGGGAAACTTTTAAAATTTTGAGGAGCAATGAAGAAATAATGTAATTGTTCTATGTTTACCTGAGACAACAATCCATTCTATATTCTTCATAAACTTAATTTTAAAAAATCGATCCTTATTGAGCTGAGGCACTCGCTTGCTGGAATAATATGTCCACCACAGTGGCTTTGTCCTGAAAACTTAACCGAACGTTTTCGCTTGTTACCATTGAATCAAAACACCAATACCGTTTGAGTTTATAGAAACAATAACATTTATATCTGATTGAAAAAAGAGAAATATTAATGGACATAAGTTGCCAGCAGAAGTCTGGATTAGATGGCTCAAGTAGAGAAAAATATCAGCTCAATGACTTGCTGTAATACTGTATGATTCTATGTTATAATAATACTCCTACTCGTGTTCTTGTTAGAGGGAAACCACATTCCCAAATCATCACATTAAGTATAGTATTACGAAACCCTCGGTATCAAATGAAATCTGATAATAATCTTTCTGTGCTTCAGTACAGCCCTTTAACCAATAAAGATTCACAATTATAACTGTATGTACCAGCTAATAAACAGGAGAGCTACTTTAATACTAGTTAATATTTCTACCCAGAAAATAAGGTACAAGGAACGTATTGTGATGCTCAAATTAATATTTTGTCTGAAAGGTCATACTTGCCATGTATTTCCTGATTATATGCTTCTTTCATTTTGGTCTCTAATCTTTCGAGAAAAAGGGGAAAAAATGTGTGATACGATAGTTGGATTGAATCCTGTCTACATTTACGGGTTCTTTGTTTGTATTTGTTGTGCTATTTATTCTTTGTTTACTTTCTACAATTTAATTGAGCAACCCCTTAGATCAATAGGAACACTATTTGTTGAGGTCATTGCAGTGTGGCCTTGGACCCAATACTTTTCAAACGCAGTAAATGGCAAAAGAAGGCGAAATGGAGAGAAGCAAGACTGGAATGGAATAAGCGATAACAAACCACTTTGTGGCTTAGTTTGAGTAATGAAACGTAAATCAAAAATGTACCTTTAAACAGCTTGCTAATGATTAATCGGCTAAGTTTTTTTTAAGCAGCTGCTTGCTGCTTTATACTACAATAATTATTTGATAGAAGCAAAATCTAGACACATAAAATAGGTTAGCAGCAGTTCTCTCAGTCATTGCAGTGTCTGAAAGGTACGATTTCAATTTTGAATCCAACCTAAAGTCTAACTGCACTTTAGTAGTCTCGCCACAGATAAATGAAGACATGAAGGTATGAATGAAGAAAAAAAAACTTTTGTTCAAATCATTGGCAAACAAAGAGTAACGTAGTTTAATACTTCTAGGTATTGTTCTTCCCTAGTACTGAGGAATAAATTGAATAACGTATACATATCTTTTAAATCCACTGCATTATATATCAGATACTGTATTGATTTTAAAAAAGTGTTGAATCGTACGCAATGCATGTGTTGCAAAGACACTTGGTATTGCATGATCTGTCAGAGGATGTACTTAAGTTCGTGAGAAACGTCTTCATGCCAAACAGCAAAGAATAAGTCAGTGTTTTTGCACACTGGAGGATTCAAACCAGAATTTGCAGTATTTGTATGAGAAATTCAGACCTGGCCCATCTATTTGACCATCCGATAGAGTCCATAAATCCAATGCCATTTAACCTGAAATTGCGATGGAATGAATCTGAATCTCGTGTAGGCACCATTCAAGTATGGGATTAATGCAGTGCGTATTCAGGCAACATATATCTTAAACGAAAACAGCATTTGGAATGCAATAACTTCTCTTGCAGAATAGGAGAATATTTGCCTCGGGGAGTATTTATTAATTGTCTGAATAGTGTCGCCCAAGAGATATAATAAATCTCCAGAAAATTATACTCTTAAGTTAAAATATATCACAAATGTTCACATTATGCCTGAACCTCCCTGCCTCATATTTACGGTTGGGTTACTTGGTTCGTGAGCTGAACACTCGGTAACAATCTACAATTAAATGAAAGAAGTATAATATCTAGATATTATCTTATTCATTGCATCATCTCAGCTAAACTGTTACCAAACATACGCATAGCAGGGAATAATCAACTGTGAGGGAGTAGGGTAATTTACAAAGAAATTGGCAACTTCAGAATATTTGAACTTTGCAACTTGTTTTTCGAAAAATAGTGCTGGGAAATTATTGTGACTGCCCTGAGATAAATATATCTTTCATCCTAGTAGCTGCTCGGNTTTTTTTTCCTAAAGCAGGATAAGTCAGGAAAATATATTTAATAATGATATTTTTCAGTAACTGGAACTTGGGCTACTTGTGACCACTAACTGAGGTTAACATGTCTGATTGTTTGCTTAACTTTATAAGTGTCGAGGTGTAAAGGAATAACATAGCAAATACTTTCCAACTCCAACATAACGAGATTTTCAGTTGGTGCCTTAACAGAGCCCACGGTAACAAACACAGACCATGTAAATTCGTAAATTCGCATGGGATTCAAATAATTTACATTCAGTATTCTTAAATACGGAATTCAGCGATGGAATTTCGGACTATACAACAAATCCCTACATACTTTTACGTCGGGAAAACGCCTCAAAGCGCTTCACATGATATGCCGTAAAGTGCAGTGACTGCGTGATGGTTCGCGAATGCGGCAGTTAATTTGGGTTGGGTTGCTTTTATACATGCGCCAGCTAATGAACATGGGGAAAATCTGTGCTTAAGACATGTTCATGGAATATTGTTAGCTCTCCCAGACAGCAATACCAATGGCCATTGATATATTGCTGTCACCGGCACAATTTTCTTACCAAACGACCTAACACTAACAGGACTTAGTCTTTTAGATAAAGATCCATCTAGCCATTTAGTTGTACTCGCGCACATTTATCTTTTATGTGAGATGTACGTATAATCTTATACAATCTGAATTTAAAATTTCATTTCGTTTGTATTAATATATTATCCATATATACAATTGCATGATTTGCACGCATATATAGATATGATACGCATTCTTTTTGTGCTAGTATTTCTGAAGCTGCTTTTGGTTGATACCTTAACTAGATGTTAAAATGTACTTTTAAGTTCTCTTTTCAAACGCGCTTGCATTGATGAATGGTCTTTCTTTTTGCCTAGGTGGGTTGTTTATATTAGGGACTTTTATGGCAGCCTCTAATATCTAGAAACCAGTCACATTCAGAAAAGAAACCTTCCGCCGTTTTGATCTTTTAAAGAGTGGCTTAAATGAGGTTGTAACTTACTCTGGCGAATGGGCCAGCACTATAAATTACCTCAGGTATTAATTTGAACAGTGGGATCTTTGTGCTGAAGACAAAGACAATTCACTGAGATGCCTAACTCCATTCACCTTGTTGCAGCTTTGTTACTATTCCGATTGTCGTGTAATTGCTTGTCTTCTTTTCTTCCTCATTTTACTCACCTTTTACTTCTTTCTCTGAAATAGTCTTATCGACGCCCACAAACCGCAAGGACGACGCGTCTTCTGCGAAGGGGGACTCTCGTTCGTCTCCGTTCTTTGCGGGTTCTGCTTGGCCCAAATGATTGGAAACCGTGGTCACGTTTGTGTGTTTTTCACCTGCTTTTGAAGAGGATGATGGTGATAATGTTGGTGCCGCGGAGAAGGAAGGGTTGAAGCATCTATCGGATTGAACCGAGCACTGCACGGCGACCGGCTGCAGAGGGTTGTAATCCGTGGGCTTGTTTGATGCATAGGTTGGGTTGGGACGAAAATATCTTGGCACAGGAACTCTACCACTGTCACCAGAGCACATTTCCGACAATCTCGGGTAAGGAGAAACGCTTGGTTGCGTCTTCGAGTGCTTATCTCCATCTAGCAAGCAATAGTTCGCTTCTTCCTTAACGCTGGGCGCGAAAGAACAACTACTTATCTGTTGGGGTCGGTCTGCCTGGCTGGAGGGTGGCTGATTTACCCAGCCTACCATCGCTGGCACGTAGTGATGTGGAGCCAAACCTATACCTTGCTGGTGATTCATCCCCCCTTGTTTACGCTGCGCGACGCCAACTTGCCAGTTCTGTAAGCCGTAGCTCTGCTCCGATCTGAAGGGCAAATAGCCCCCAGGACAGTAGGATTCTGTTCGGTTGGGGCAAATCAAGGAGCTCACCGAAAACGAGCTGGAAGCGGAATTCTCGGAACATGACATAGCTGGAGCTTAATTTGGCCGGGGAAAAAGGTTATTGTCAAACTGACATTTCTCCTGCACTCATCACAAGGCGGTTGCGAACAACTTCCTGTCAGTCAGCCACTCAGACTCGCACAAGGCACCGCAGAACCGCCCACAGCTCGGTGGTTTGAAAAAAAAGAGTCGAAAATTAATGCATTGGCGGCGTTCACTTACACCTAGTTATTGTGACAAATACAACCTCGTTAATCCTGCTTTTATACATCTGACTCAGGGCCTTTATTCTTTCTCTGCGCCATACATATTAATATTTCAGCGAGCAAGGTCACCGCCTACGTTTTCGTGTTTTAAATAAAAACGAGCCAAGGTCACAATTTGCAGTTTCTTTCCACGGAATGGCGACCGGTAAATCGCCACGTGAGTTCTCTGCTTTTTCTCCCAAATTCCGTTTCACGGTGACCTGAATTAGAAACATATCCAATACTGTGAGCCTTTTCCATGAGGAGAGAGAGAGAGAGTGAGGATTCTGAAGGCTGTAGTGTGCATTCATTAATCAAAATCTTACTCGTCTTCCATTGCAGTTAGTAACAGCCCATATTTTAACATTTTATATGCTGTAAACATATAATTGATTTAATGGCAATTAACGGGCGGCTTTAATTTTCAATCAGAATAATTTTGTGTGGTTAAGTAATATTAACAGTTTTCTTTTGGAAGTGTTCAGTGTTATCCACCTCAATGTAACGCAAAACAAAGCTCATGTTTGCATTCAGTAAATATATATTGAAACTTTTTTATTGTGGAGTGTATAAGGTTCAATCACGCATACACATATATATGTGACTTCAAACTAATTAACTAAATATCTAATGCTACATGCTTATTTCGTGACAAATACGTTATTTTTCTTTTAGGATGATAATTATTGATTTTAAAGATGGTTGAAATGAAATATTCTCATTCTTTTTACCTCACGTTAATTCACTACCCCTCAGTGTTCGCTTTCTCACAACAAGTAGTCAAGTTTACTTGCCATACATTATCGTGGATGGTTTCGGTGAAACAAACAAATCAATAGCTACGTCTACGAATATACGGATCTAGTTTATACGTATGAAAAGCACATTTACGTACTTCTGGATAAATGTGTACAGGGGAAATACATGGCGAAATTGTTGATTTCATTTGGAATGTGTACTCGAGTTCCAAGATCTGATAAATAAAATATACAACTCATATTTTCTCCCAACGAGCGAAATCGTAGGCATGCCCTGATCCCAATGTACCTTGTATTTATAGAATAATTGTTTGGATATTGTACAAATATTATTTAACTTCAACTAATGTTAAATGGACGCGTGGTCAATAACTTAGCTTTCCTTCTGCGACAAGTATTCTAGTACAAATATGTGTCCGTAAATTCAGCAAGATGTGTTCAGAGAGAAGTGATATTAACCCTGAAAATGATCATGTAATATATGGCGCCGCACCAAACACCTTCCAAAACATTAACTAAAATATTTTAACATTTTATTACTTCATCATCCGCACAGGGTTCTCCATGTTGTCGATTTTATGTATTCCAAGAAAGATTAAATCTTGGATGACAGAAAGGAAGTTTTTATTGACGGTTAACGAACTACAGATTTTGTGAAACTGTTGGTTTCATCCTGGATGAAATGGTTTTCTTGACTGAAGGCGAACCGCAATGTCCGATCATTCTCAATACCCCCAAATAGCAATAATGCAAAGGCATTATCACCGGAAATTATGTAAGCATCTGGTTTGCGATTATCGGATTAGGATGTAAATGGGATTTGAGATTTCCCCCGTCTCTGCCCCATCCACCACCCCCCCCCCCCCCCCCCCCCACCACCACAACACCCACCCCAACACACACACACACAGACATACACTCCCAAGCCAAGAAATCAAGAAATGCATCTCCTCAAATGAAAGGAATGCGATATGCTCGCCTTTATTACATTTCAAAACTGGATGATACTTGAGAAAGGCACATGGACAGACGGCCACATGGAGAGGCCACGCACTGGGGATATACTTCTTTCCCAGAAGAGAAATAATTCTGCGTACAATGACTGACCGTCTGATGGGTGAAAATAGCCTGAGATCATCTGTCCTCCGCTTCTATATGAGACCCACGAGAACATGATTTTGAGTTTAGAAGAGAAACGTGGAAACATAGAAGTGTCTGTGTGTGTGTGTGTGTGTATGTGCTTCATTTTGTACGTATATACGTGTGTGTCTGCCGGTGTGTGTTGAGGGAGGGACATTCGGCACATCTATATATAAGAGGTTTACTGAATCAGTTCTATACATCGCCTCTTCAGAAAGAGACGAAATGAAAAAGTAACTAACTATTTTCCAGAAGGATCCAAAATAATTAGAAATGCATTTTCAGCAAACTGCTTGTTAACTCTTCCCCCGGATAAACAAGAAACTAAAATATATGACCTGAGGCATTTTTATATATATAATTATTCACCAAATATTCAGATCTGAACTTACACGCATGAATTTGTATATAATTTGCATATATTATATATTAAAAGCTGACAGATTTTGTACATGTTATTGTATGTTGTGTGAGCACGACACAATACAAGTATCTTAAATCCTTGTTTCTAAGTTTTATTGTCTTAAAACTGCAGGTATAACATTGTGCAAAACATAAGCTACCATTGAAACAAATAGCAGTGAATAATTGCATTTATTTTTCCATGTAATATTGCGAGAATTACCCAAATAAAATAACTGGGTTATCCAAATTCAATGATACGTTTGATTACCTACCGAACGTAAATTCATAGCAAATAATTGCATTTCAACATGAAAATACGTGTGCTTTCGGGATTCTTTATTAAAGAGAGGCTGTTCTAGATCGAGTCAAAATGGATATTTTATTATTTTAAAGAGCGATAGGATTTACTCAATACCACATAGTTTACGTTAATAAATAATCAATCCTTGCATTTGATATAAAGCGCCTAATTTTTGTTCAATATGATTTAGAATATAGCAATATTTGCATTATAAACTGTACAATGTGTTTTCCTGTTTTGATTCAATTGCTTTTTAATCCGGAGTTGAATTCAATTCTATGGGACTATTTAGAGCCACACGTTTCACAACCTTCAGACACTTATACGGAGAATCGACAGGAATTAATGCAACAATCAAGAAATATTTACGCTGTAAATGAACTTGCTGTGGAGGTAAAATCCTGGTGGCTCCTTCGTGGGAAATGATCCGCATGTAATTCTAAGGTATTTTTAAATTAGATTTGATACAATAAAGGTGGCAGAAACCGCACAGATATAAACCCACACCACTAATTTATGGCGCTTTTACAAAAAGATTGCAACGCTTAAGTGAAGGTATTTTTGAAAGCGTTACATTCAGTTTCGGACACATGTGAAATACGGCTTCTTGGCGGACCAATTAATGGAGATTCACTGCATTCCGGGGTGCCAACAAACAGGGCCACAGGACTTTCAGCCATAATTCCATCAAAATATTACTTTCTGGTCCATGTTAGGGCAGCAGCAAAACATCGATCTCGCTGCGAATAGAATATCGGTAAAATATCTCGATAGAGGTTATTTCCGTTAATGAACCACGGCGTTCAGAATACGCAAAAGCGACGCACACAGTTTATATTATAACCCTGGATTGTATATTTCAGACCATACGTGTGTATGAGTGTACATATGTAGACGTGAGCAATGTGTATATTTATCTGTGTACGTGTGCATACGAATGGGTGTATGTGTGTTCTGTGCACAAATAGGTTTGTATGTGTGCGCAAAAAGGAAGTTATAACATATTATTTGTCGCAAAGGATAATAGTAACAATGAAGACAATGACACGAATTGGCTTATTTCCTTAAGAAAAACTAACATCCAGCTCTCGTGGTATACATGAAGGACATAGTGAGCACAATATAGATTCATCTCTCGCATGTTGAACTTAATTTAAACTTAATAGCATTATTACTTTCTGTTTCCATTCTAATAAGTCCAAGTTCTGGACGGTTTTCTAATAGATCTATAAAGTCCAGGCGATCTTGTTGGACTATTCTCTGCCCACCACAGGCGCAAGATCATGGAACAACACTCTGTGTATAGAAAGCTCCCTTTTCTTAAACAAATGGTAAGTAAAGTAATAAAACCAACCTCTTCAGCAGCAACATAATTATAGTTGTCGCGGGATGTGAACTGTATATTATTTTTACACATGAAACCTTCTATATGGAAAGCTCCCTTTTCTTAAATAAATGGTACTAAAGCAACAAAATCAACCACTTCAGCAGCAACACAATTATAGTTGTCGTAGGATGTGAACTGCATATTATTTTTACATACGAAACCGTTTTTTTCTCTCTCCCTTTCCCTCTATCACATATACATATTAACACACAATTATATTAATTTTGAATCATTTACCAGATAAGCAATGTAATCAGATTATAAAGTAACCGATTTCACAGATTAAATATTCAATATCTTTATAAATAATATTGAATTTACTTAAATATATCAAAACTTGTTTAAATGTTACGCCTTTATATTTTGTGAATTACCTTTCCTGAAACACAGTGCGCATTCACTTTCCTTCTCGACTGGTTTGGAAACGTTCGGCAACTCAATAAATAACCATTCAGTTAAAAATTATAGGAATTCGGAGGAGGACAGTTTGATATTTGCAGAATGTCAGCGTAGACTTTGTACTTTTCAGGGTTTGAAATGATAATTTTAGAACCTTCGAGGGTCAGAGCAAGAAACAAGATGCTTTCTTTTCACGAATAACAACCGACAATATATCACACCATTCAAACGTTTCCACATCGAAACAAAGAATTATCGACTGTATATACTTCTCAATCTGAAGCCGAATGAATAGAAACTGAATAGGTTTAATAATATTCTATCATCTGCTATGTCTTTGCTGAAAATGCGAATAACAATGAATTAGCAAACAAACTACCTTCTCAATACGT